CTCTGCCCCCATCTCTCCCTTGCTCCCCTCCCCAGTGGTCTGGAGTCCTCCTCCATCTCCAGCACAGCGCCCCTCGGGGTCCAGGGTTGAGGATGCGAGGCACTGACTGACTTCCCGCTTTGCTCTCCCGAGTCCCCCCGGGGGGCTCAGTGTGCAGTGAGGTCGGTGGCTTCTCCCCCAGACCCTTGTGTGCTTTGGTGATGCTGGGAACCCTCCCCAGCCTGCCACCCAGCCAAGGAGGTGACCAAGGGCCGCCTCCAGCCTGGCGGGTCTCCTGCTGTCCCCACAGGACAATGGGGACAAGTGCTCCCATCACTCTGAGTGCTACAGTGACTGCTGTCTCATGAACCTGGAGTTCGGGGGAGCCTTCTGTGCCTCTAAGGCTGGAAAATACATGCCATGCTTGCCCCAGGTGAGGCTGGGGTGGGCTGCTCCTTCTGGCAGGTGGGAAGAGGCGGGGGTTAAACAGAAACCACCGCGACACCCTCTTTTGCACCGTCTGCCTGGAACACCCTCCTGTTCTTCTTTGGCAAACTGCTACTGGTCCTGCAATTCATCATGAGCCCGCTCCTCTCAGAAGCCTTCGCATACTAAGTGCTCAGCAAATGTTTGTTGAGTGAAGGAATAAATAAATGAAACCTCTACCCTAACATCACTGAGGCAGGGCAGGCAGGAAAAGACCTTCCTCTACCCATCACCTTCTCCCTGCCATGATGGCCTAGTTTGTTGAGAGGCATAGGGTCACAACTTTGGAGTTGGACTGGAGCTTAAATCCTGGCTTTTCACAAAGACATCCTGGCTGTCTTTGTGACCTCAAACAGGTTTCCTTCCCTCTCCGGGCCTCAGTTTCCTCATCTGTCAAATGGTGCACATGTCCCTTCCTCACCAGGGTGCTCCGAAGAGGCCATGGTCCCCAAAAGTCATTGTCCCATCAAATGTGTCTGTCACTACTGAAAAAATGCAAGCACAGAATGTCTTGTTCCTGGGGCGGACGGCTGAGCCTGAGCGTCCCTGACTAGGGTCGATGCTTAGGGGAGCCAGCGGTACCCCGACGGTGGCCTGACCCTGACTACTTAGCCGGGTCTTTATCATCCCACCCAGCCCTCACAACCACCCCATGAGACAGGCTACTGTCACTACCCACATTTGACTGATAGGGAAACTGAGTCCCAGAGCCCGCAACGGGCCTCAGCTTGTGCACTTTCAAGCTGCAGCACTTTTTCTTTGCCTCCTGCTCCCCAAGAAGTCTGGGACCCCCCTTCCTGCCCCCAGTGATGCCAACTCTCACACGTGCTCCCCACAGACCAAGGGAGCCGTGAACATCATGTGCCCCTGCCGGCTGGGCTTGATCTGCATGTCCAAGGACCTCATGTGTTTCCGCCGGTGCCACTGGATTTAGCGGAGGTGCAGCCTGGTCCCTGCAGCCCCTCCAGCCTCCCTGGGGCCCAGCATGCTCCACATCTGACTCTTGAAGCATTAAAGTCCCTTCCTGCCTCCAGCCTCTGCTTCTCTGCTGGTGTGTGTGGGGGGGACTGCAGGGTGGGAGGGGCCAGGCTGGGTCCAGGGCAGGCACCTCTTGGGGTGGCGGGTGGCGTGGGGGGCGTGGGGCTGGGGAGTGTGCCTGACAAAGGAGCTCAATAATTCCTTTTTTTTGGTGGTGGTGGTGTCAGTACTGGGGACTGAACCCAGGGCCTTCACCACTGAGCTATATCCCTAGCCCTCTTTTACATTTTTATTTTGAGACAGGGTCTCACTAAGTCACTATAATTTGCCAAGGCTGGGCTCAAACTTGGAATCCCCCTGCCTCAGCCTCCCAGAGTGCTAGAATTACAGGTGTGCACCCCATGTCCAGCAATATTTGCTTTTGGATGGGGCCAGGGATTTAGCTCAGTGGTTCCAGTGCCTGCCTCACCAGCACAAGGTCCTGAGTTCAATCCCTGGTACAAAAAAAAAAAAATTTGCTTTTGGAATGGCTACTGAAATTGTCCGACAGCATGGTGGGTGGTGGTGAGGGCAATGCAATCAATGTAATCAATGTTCCAAGCCCCGCCCTGGGGGGCTGCTGACACGTGGTGCGGGGTGATGGGGAGGTGGGGGAGGTGGTGACAATCAGGCGGGACTTTGAGGGCCAAGCAGCCACTCGTAGGAGAAGGTGGCAGTGGTGGCAGAGTGGTGACAGGAAGGTCTGTATGGCTGGTGTGTGTGAGAAGCAACCTGCTTTGGGGACACTGAGGGAATGGCTTTAAAGAGTCCCACTGTACAGACATCCCCGGGTCCCCAGCGTGGCACTGTGGGGCCGGTGGAATTGGGACAGGGGCAGGAGTGGCGTCATTCACTGAAGCAGGTCTCTCAGGCTCTGGGCTCCCAGCTGGACAACCTGGAGATTTGCCACCAGAGCAAGAGGGACAAGGGCAGTGCTGGCCGCGCCGCCCGAGATCTGTGAGTCACACTGGGCCCCTAAGGGGTCCAAGGGCAGCAAGCGTCACATGCAGGTGGCTGTCAGCAGCTGGAGGCAAGGAGAGCCCAGGAGAAGAAGGAACAGGGCTGGAATTCTCCAAAGGGCCTGGATCTCCAAGTCCTGGGGACCCCGTGTACCCACTCGAGCTGGGAGGCCATGCCCAGGCCTCCAATCCCAGAGGGTGTCACCTTCGAATGTGGATTCCTGCTCCCTAGAGATCGGCTCACCAAGCCCCGCAAAGTAGCATGGGACCTGGCCGAAGCTGGGAAGGGCCTCAGCCCAGCTCCTTAGCCCAGCCCCGGGAGACCCCCAGGCCCCACGTGCTCCTGGCCAGAAGGGGCCCAGGCAGCCCCCTGTGAGGAGCCCCACATGGTGCTCCTGGGTGTGACAGGCAAGAGCTAGGTGTGCACCGGGCACCTCCAGAGCTGTGACTGAGCGGCTGGGGGTGGGGGGCCCTGGCTTCTGGCTCTGGGAGAGGGATGGAGGCCCCAGGAGCTGGGCTGGGCTGGGCTGGGGCTGCCCAAGGTCAAAATCAAAGTCTTGCCTTTCCCAGACTGCCCTATGTGTGGATCCTGACTTTTGTATTTCCAAAGACTCAGAAATCATTTAAAACCATCTATGGCTGTGGTCAGAGAGATGGAAAAAGAAGCCATTGAAGAACACACTCTTCTGAAGCTCCCTCCTCTGCCACCCACTATCCTGCTGCCCAGGACTGTGTGTTCCTGCCCCAGCCCAGAGCCTGGCCAGGAGGTGAGGGGCGGACACTGTGTGGCACCACTGAAACAAGGGGCTTCCCAGTTTGCTGCTTCGGAGCCGGGTGGGAATTGCTGGATGAGGGGGGAAGTAGGAAGGGACCGCTCAGCCTTGGGGTCTTTTACTTATGTGAATGAAAGCCCCAGAGAAGAGAAGATCTTAGCTCCCCTCCTGCCCTAAGCCCTCTCTGAATTCCCCCCACTCCATCCTTTGCAAGGCCAGCTGACACCAGATTTCTTTTTTTTTTTTTGGTACTGGGGATCGAACTCAGGACCTTGCACTTGCAAGGCAGGCACCGGAACCACTGAGCTAAATCCCCGGCCCACACCACATCTTTTTTAGCCATGGGAGAACCAAGAGGAACTGAGACATTTGTGCAAAGTCACACAGCTTGGAAGTGCCAAACCTGAGTCTTCTGGGAAGCAGGAAAAGAGGGGAAGGAAGAAGAGCTAAGGGAAGGGAGGGATCTTCGCACCTGTAATCCCAGCACTCTGGGAGGCTGAGGCAGGAGGTTCAGGTCTCAAGAGGTTCAGGACGTCTTGCCATGGGTTGTGAGGTGTTCTGAGTTGGATGCAGACTTGCTTGTTTGTGCTAAGTTCGTCTTCCCAGAGGCAGCCCTGGCATGCTTAGCTCCACTTTGGAAGTGACTGTTTCACCTACGCCTCTGGTTAAATATGCACCCAGGACTGAGCCAGAGTGATTTCCCCTCAGCTGAGGGGCTCGGGGGCCAAAAGCTCTGGATTCAAGGTCCAGCTGTGGTTGAAGCTAGAGCACCCTTGTGGGGCATTGTGCCCAGAAGAGAGAAGATGATTAATCAGCCACACCAATCCTTTCCCTTTGCTGTCCGCCTCCCTTGCAGCTAGAAGTGGTCAGGTGACCAGGCTGGGCTCATTGTGATATGAAGAGAAGTCTGTCTGGAGGCTTCTGGGAAAGATAAGAAGGGAGCAAGGAGAACCGCTCTGCTCCTCACCTCTCTTGCACCCTCCCTCGGCTGTGTTTTCCACATTAGTGCATGGCATAAGGGTATGAGGTCAGGGGCTGCCACATCTAAATTTCATATGGTTCACCATTGTTATCATTTAGATCTAACAGCCTCGTGTGCTTGGACAGTGATTTGATTATGGGGGCTTGTAGCTGCTTATTGGAGATGGGGCCTAGTTCAAAGAGGTAGGTCGCTGGGGTGTGACTGGGAAGGGTTTATATCCCTTCTCAGGGCAGGATGGAGGAGAAGCTCTCCCCCACCAGACCCTTCCACCATGCTGCTTCCACCTGGGGCCGGCCAACCATGCAAGACTGAGACTTCTGAAATGTGAGCCAAAATAAACCTTTCTCCTTTAAGTTTCGGGTGTCGGGTATTTTGTCCCAGCAAGGAGGAAAGAGATTAAAGCAACTACCCTCTCTCTCTGTAAGAATCTCCTCTCCGGCATCCTCACCCAGGGGTCAGTGAGCTTCCACTTGCTCGTCATGGCAATGGGGTCCTCACTACTGCCCAAGGTGCCTCGTGCGTGATGGATCCAAGGGTAGACAGTTTTTATCTAAGCAAAAATTAAGTTATCTACAATGTCCACTCATTCCCCTGGAGGGTCCCAGTGGCTGCCGCTCTGCTCTGGGGACTCAGGGACACAGAGGGCACCCCAGGGAGGAGTAATTGCTCCCAGAAATGGACAAGGGCCTGCTTCACCACCGTCTCCAGTGTGCAGGCTGCTCAGCCCAGACCCCTCCCTCGCTCTCCTGCCCTGGCGGGCAAGGCTTGGTGACCATCAGGAGAGCACGCGGGAGGCAAGGTTTGCAGTGGTTTAATGGCCCAGAGCCCAGCCAGGTACAGAGGCACTGGCGGAGGTGGCAGCCAGCAGGGCGGGGGGCCGGGTGCTGGTCTCACTGCTTGGAGCTCGGGTCCCGGCAGGTGCCGTAGTTGGTGTTGGTGATGGCGCCAATGATCGACTTGTCCCCCTCACAGGCCAGGCCCCGCTCACAGGGACACAAGTAGTAAATGCCATAGATGGTCTGCAGGGACAGAGCCAGCGGTGACACGGCTGTGCAGGGCTGCTGTGGCCTCCTTTGTCCCCTGCCCCGCCCAGGAACCAGCAGACAGAGGGCGCTGCGGATGGACCGGGAGGCCTGGGTTCTGACCTCTGCCTGACTGGCTTACTCATGTGAGCCCCATCTCTCTGGGGTCCTCTACTTACCCATCCCTGCAGTGGGGGCAAGAGGCCCCTCCGTACCATCCGGTGTGAGGGCCAGAGAGGTGGGGGTGGGACAGTTCGATGAGGCCTCCTGGCCTCCCTCTCCATTCCCCAGCACGCCCCGACCGGGGCCCCGAGTGCTGCCCGCCACCTGGCACCCACCTTGGGGGAGCACCTGCTGTTCTCGCTGGCTTTGTGGGTGCAGCGGGCCAGGCTGAGCAAGCTGTCATGCTGGCAGCACTTGCTCTTACACTGGGCGCTGTTCAGGCACAGCTCACCGTCCTCCTGCGGGGACAGCAGTGAGCCTAGGCCCTCCTCCAGCCCCTCCTCACTCAGAGCCCCTGCCCCCTTGCTGGGGTTGTGGGCAGGGTTCCACCCCAGCTTCCGGGCCCTCTGCACTCCACCCCATGAGCAGTGAGCCGCGCACTGGGAGACAAGCAGCCCTGGGCTCAGTCCCAACTCCCGGGATCTAGAACTGGTGTCCTACCAACTCCCGGGTGACCCTGGCAGGCACGGCCTCCCTAGGCCTTAGGGTTCCCATCTGGAATATGGATAGATGACCCCCAAAATGGAGTCTCCAAACTGAGCCCCACCCCCCACCCACCCCCCTGCCCTTTTAAATTTTTTCTTTTGAGACAAGGTCTCACTAAGCCACTGAGCTGCCCAGTCTGGGCTCGAACCTGTGATTCTCCTGCCTCAGCCCCCAGAGTGCTGGGACTGCAGGCTCACAGCCCATGCCCACCTCCAATTCTTTGAAGAGTCCTTTGTAGAAGTTGAGGACCCTCTCCCTGTAAGACTCCCGCCACCCCACATCCTTTCCATAGAACCGCAGGGGCACACTGGCCCCCTGCGCCGTTCCAGCCAGGAGTGCAGCCTCTGGCCTGTGGCCGCTGTGCAGGGCCTGGTCTGTTTTGACCGGGGTCAGGCGGGGAGGTGGTCTCACTGTGGCCTTGTGGCAGTGTGGGCTCTGGGATCCAGGCGGGGCCCAGGGTGCCCTGGGGTTCTGTGGGAAAGGCTGCTGAGAAGGGTGCCCACCCTGCAGGGAGATGGTCCTCAACCTCCTGAGGCCCCTCAAAGGACTGTGGGAACAAAGCAGTCTGGCAGCCCTTTTGGGGCCACCTATTCATAATCCAGATGGGAATGCCCAGGCCTGGCCAGGGTCACCCCGCAGTCATGGGACAGCTGGCACCAGGACCCGGGGCTCAGGGCGCCACACTACTCTGAACATGCCCACGCCAGAGGTCAGGAGGTGACCGGCAGCCTCTCTTGGGGTGACCTAGGAAGAAGCAAAAGATGAGGCCAAGCAGCAAGGGAAGAGATGCCTTGGGCAGTCCCGGCGGGGGACAGCAGAGGTCAGGATCCAAGCTGGGGACGGGACAGCTCCTCCCCCAGAGCCCCTTACCAGGTTGATAATGAGTCCTCGGGGTCCAGGAGCAGCGTGGGCCACAGCAAGGGCGATGAGCAGAAGGACAAGGACCTTCTCCATGACGAGAGGTTCAGCTGGCATGGGTGGGCTGGCAGATCAGGTGGCGGAACACATAGTCCCGGGGTGGTGGGGCCTTAAAAGGGGTCCCGTCCACACGTGACCCCACTCTGCAAGCCAGGGGCCTCCGGTGAGCAGAGACGCAGCTGCGGCCAGACTGGGGGCACTGATAAGGTGCGGGGCGGGCATGTGGGAGCGGAGCACATGTGCGCCGTGTGCCTGTGGCTGGTGCATTGTGGTTAAGCGTGTGGGCTCCCGGGGTGGAGGCAGCTCAGTAACAGCGTCTGCCCACCATGCGTGAGGCCCTGGGCTCCATCCCTGGCACGGAAAAACAAGTGTGGACTTTGAATGCCCAGCTATACAAGTTATTTGTTGGACAAATTACCTGTTTTGGCTCAATCTTCTTATCTGTCAACCAGGGATGGCTTCAAGACCTGTGTGGGTAGACTTAACACACATGTGGTATGTATATTCACCTAATGATACACGCATCTCTACAGGTATGTGACCAACCATATGTGTATGCCTGGACACCGGGTGGCCCTTGGAAGGGGACCGAGGGCCCTAGCGGCCCTGGTGCCCTGGCTCCGAGTAGGGCAGGGCTGGTGAGGGCCAGAGCAGGCCGCAGCGTGTCCGAGGCACATCCCCTGGTCCAGGCTCTGCCTCTGGCCCCACTCAGCCCAGATGAGGGCAGAGCGGGGTGCAGGTGAGGAAGCCGTGAGGTCCCCAAGCCCTGCCTTCCTTCGGGCCCCTTGGGGATTCCAGGCAGGTGTCGTCAGCTCTGCAGCCCCTCCAGGACTCACGTGTGTTCTCTGGGGCACCCGCTCTGCCCTCACCCCAGGTGTCAGTCCCCGGGAGCGAGCGGGCCCCCAGGAGGCCCCTCCTTCCCAGCCCACTCGGCATCCGACACTGTGGCAGTGCAGACTCAGTCGTGACTACAGCTCTGCTTGCCCCGCCCCCACCCCAGCCCCAAGGCCGCCTGTCCCCAGGCCTGGCAGATGACAGGGAGGCTCAGACAGACCAGGGCTGGAGGCTGGGAAGGGCACAGGTGCCCAAGATGCCCAGATGTGCAAACACAGGCCTTTCCCTGCAGGTTGAGCCCCTGTACCCACCACTGCCACCCAGGCTGGGCTGCCTGGGGCATAGCTTTGATCTGCGCTGACCTGGCTTCAACGCTCAGCACTTTCTAGTTCTGTGGCCTTGGAGAACTTGTTTAAACTCTGTGGATTCCTTGAGCCTCGGTTCCTTATCTACCTACAGGACCTAATGGCTCCTACTTCATAAGGCTGGGATCACATAAGACAAAGGACGACCTGGAGAAGGGTCTGGCATGTAGCAACCGCTTCCCGCACCCTGACAATCAGAGGGGGTGGGCCGGGTGGTTGCAGAGGTACAGAAACACCGCCCTTGCCTGCAGGGACTCCGTGTTTGCAGCTGTTGTCCATGGGGTGTGGGGGAACTGTTTCCCAGCTCTTCTTGGTGACTCAAATGCAGAATCCAGTTGGCTACTCAGAGAGAGTAGCCAGAATGAGACTTAGAGCAGTAACAAGCATAAGCGAAAGGAAAGCAGAGCAGGCCCACTACTCGGTGAGATCAGGCCGGGGGAAGAGGCGCTGAGCCTCCTCGCGTTCTGGGATTGTGGGTGGCTCTTTAGCTGGGAACCACGGTCAGGAGGGGAGTTTTGCCCATGTAAGATGTTAGAGGAAGTGTCACAGCGCCTGAAGGCCGGGGGTGAGTGTGGGGTGGGGGTAGTTCAGTGCAGCTGAGGGAGGACCCAGGCCAGGGTCACGTTCTTGTGGATTTGCCCGTGCCTGAGGGTCCTGGGAGGACAGGGCGACCTTTGCCTACTGGTTTTCTGATATTGTGCCGTAACTGTCTTAGCTCTGTCTGGCTTCTTGATTCTTGTCCCTCAGCTCTCTGTCATTTACTTGTCCTTGCTCTGTCTCCGCCCTCAAAGCCAGTTTCAACTGAGCTCATCCTGGTCCCTCCCTTCTCTCTCTCCCTGCTGTCCCCATCCCCCTTGCCCCTGGGGCACAAGCCACATGGAGGTCATCAGGTGCTTCTCCCAACTCAAGCCAGCAGGCTGGGTAGGAGCCCGGGAGACCTATTTTTTTAAGACAGGGTCTCACTGTGTAGTCCAAGCTGGCTTTGAACTTGCTGCGATCCTCCTACCTCAGCCTCCAGAGTTCTGGGATTACAGGGGTGCGCCACCATGCCTGGCCCCAGGGGATCGATTTTGATAGTGAGTGGGGCTCTGAGCACGCACTAGTCCTGTCCCTAGACGGCCACAGGCAACTTCCCCGTGAACAAAGACTAGAGTGCTGCCCATCACAAATGCAGAGTGTGACAGAGGCCCTTGACGGCTCTGTGTGCTTCCAAACTGTAAGCAAGAATTAGGGCTTTTCCTACCAAAACCTCGAAAGGTTTAACCACCTCTTTCACACCCCCAGCAAGATGGCACGGGCCTGTAACCCTGGCATTCTAGGAGGCTGAGGCAGGAGGCTTGCAAGTTTGAGTCCAGCCAGGTCAGCTAAGCGACTTAGTGAGGCCCTCTCTCAAAATAAAAAATAACCGAAGGGCTGGGGATGTAGCTCAGTTCAAGGACCCTCGGTTCAATCTCCAGAACCACAAGCAAAAAACAAGCAAACAAACGAGTACATAAATAAATAACCCTCTTCTTTCCCAATCTAAAGAGAGTTTGCTTTGGGATTTTCCCCTCAAAAAATCTAAGTTCACGGAATCACCTGGGCCAATCTTGCTGGCATAACACTGAGTGAAAACGGCCACAAAAAGAATGGAGACCATGGTTCCATTTATATGAAAGTTAGGGGGGCAAAACTCATCTTGTTGGGATTGTTCCAAATGTCCACCTGGGTATTGAAAATGCGCTTGGGCCGGGGATTTAGCTCAGTGGTTCCACAGCCTGCACCTTAAGCACAAGGAGCCAAGTTCGATCCCCAGTACCAAAAAAAAAAAGAAAGAAAGAAAATGTGCTTGCTGAAGATTCAAGACCTTCCTGCATACATGTCAGCACGTATCTCAGGAGAAAAGAGCAAAATTCTTCCTGGCCATGTCTTACTGTTGAGGTGGTGGCACTGGGGTGGCCTCACACCTCCCACTCGCTCCGCCATGTCCCCCTGCCCCGGAGGAGCCCTGGCGGCTGTGCTGGCAAAGGAGCCTGGGGAAGGCAGGCTCAGGGGCCCAGGGCCTCTCCTGGGATGTCGACTTGTGTCCAGTGGCTGCCTCCAACCTGGTCTACAGGGGGAAAGTAGGGGACCCTAGGAAGAAAGATTTTGCGTGCTGAGAGAGCAGCTCGCAGAGGGGAGGAAGGGCGGATCCATAAGTCAGGTAGGAACTTCACACATGCGCACAAACACACACACACACACACACACGCACACACACAGAGTCTGCACAACTGCATTCCTACCTCCAGGGTCCCTGAAACTCCCCTGTATCCCTAGAACACTTCCTCTTGCCCCAAGCCATAGACAAAGATGTCTCAATTCTGCAAAGGTGCTCATCAGGGGTCAGATATGCGACAACCAGAGTTAGGGCAGAGAGCAGGCAGGGAATCCATGCAAAAGGAAGTAGACGGACCCTGGGTGGCCACAGAGCTGAAGGAACAGGATGACCTGTCTTAGTGACACAGGAATCCGGATGACTCTGAGCCTGGTAGTAAAAGCTCACGGATTGCTTCTTGGGATGTGGCCAAGGGCCAAGGGCCAACTAAGCAACCATGGTTTCCCCCCTCTTGCCAACCCATCAGGAATTCAGATCCCCCAGGAGATCTGACGGCCTGGCCTGGGTCACCCACTCAGCCCTGTCCCGAGGATCTGTGTACCCTGTGTGACTGGCTGTCTCAGCTGAACCTCAGGAAGGAGGTGAGGCTGCACTCTGGTCCGGGAGGCTGCGCTGGGCGGTCAGGGAAGGGTGTCTGCCAGCTCCTAAGAGTGTGGCCGGTGCCTAAGGGGGATGACATGGCCACCGGTCTGGGAAACTCTCGGTCTGGGAAACTCTCGGTCTGATGGAGACATCAGGGATGCCTTCCATGAACTGCCGTTCTGACGCTAAAGATGACCACAAAACCAAAGAAGGGATGCAAGAGAAAGAGAACTCATAGAGGAAACAGTATGAACATGTTCAAGGCAGAGCTGTCTGGATAGTGAAAAAGTAGAAACTGCCTAAACACACTGAAGTGGAAATGGTTATGGCTTGTACACACGCGGGCTCACTACACAAGTATTAACGTAATGCTTTTTGGGGAAAAGTAATATGAAAAAATATTAATGGTATAATACTAAATGGAAAAAATTACATAAAATTGTATATGTAACTGGGTAAGGTGGTATTGCAGAAGGAGGCAAATGTGCCAAAATTAACAGAAATAAATATAATAACTATCAGCAGCAATTTTTCTGGGGAAGGGGATGGTAGTGGAGATCAGATCTAGGGCCTTCATACTGAGCTACATTCCCATCCATTTTATTTTGTTTTGTTTTGCTTTGTTTTGTTGTTGTTATTTCTTTTTGTTTTGCTTTTTTTTGGACCGGGGATTGAACTCAGGTCCTTGTGTTTGCGCAGCAGGCGGCGAAACCACTGAGCTAAATCCCTGGCCCTGTTTTGCTTTGTTTTTGAGACAGGGTCTCATTAAATTGCTAACTTGACCAAGCTAGGTTCCAACTTGAGATACTACTGCCTCAGCCTCCCAGAGGCCTGGGAATACAGGCATGTGCCACCACGCCCAGCTGGTCATCAGCGTTTCTGAACTCTTTTGTATGGGACGCCTTGGACTGAACATTTTACAGATGTTATCTAAGCCTCCATCACCCCTATTTTCACTAGTAAGTGACTGGCTCCAGTCTAGGTCTGTCTAAGGCCAAATTCTGTGTTTTAAGATCATCATCTTATCTTTTCTTAGCTCCCTATGTTGGGGTTAGGAAGGATTTTTATTCTTTTATGTACACTTTCCTTGAAATTTCTTAGTTCTCTATACTAGCCATGTGGTTAGTGGATGGATAGTGAAATCAGAAGAAATTTATATTTTTCCAAAGGAAAATAGATGCAACAAAAATATTTAAACAAGGGGAGAAAGGCATTAGAATGAGCTAAGAGCACGTGTTAAGGTCTGAGAAGTCTTCCGAAGAATGTTCTTTGCTCTGCTTTGTGGTCGCTTCATTATCACAAGGCTATCGGTCATCACGTACTGGGTAAATGCACACTGCACGCCTCCTATGTGGAAATGTCCAGCTGTTTTTGAGGACTGGGGCCTGTCTTTCTACCATCGTCATCGTCTCTGGGACCTTGCTGTAAAGACGCCCTCCAACAGGGACTTCGCACATATTGCGCTCTTAGCAGTCGCTGACGGGAAACGCCGCGGGGAGGGTTTTGCGGACCTCTGGGGGCGAAGGTTGGAGGTTTAGAGGGCGCTTGGGCAGCCGAGGATGGGTGGGGCGAGATGGTCGGCGCTTTTCCTGGGCGTGAGGCCGCAGTCCCACCCGCCCAGCTCCGGAGGGCGAGGCAGGGCCGCGGTGCCCCTGGCGCCCCGCTGGCTGACCCTGGCTGACCCTGGCTGACCCCGGCTGACCCTGGCTGCGTGGCCGGCGGGCGCGGGGCGCTGGCCGCGGTGCTGAAGCGGCGCTGTGGGCGGGGGTGGGGCGGGGCTCTGGGCGGGGTGGGGCGGGGCTCCGGGCAGGGCGGCGCCGGCAGCTCGGCCTGAGGTGCGGGCAGGAGGCCGAGGCCGGACGGGCCGCGCAGGAGCGGGTGCGGGCGCCTGGCAGGTTGCCCCCAAGAAGCCGAGGCTGGCCTTGTCCTGCTCGGCGACTTCTCCTGCCCCGGAGAGACCTCACCTTGTGTCCTGACTCAGCCTCCCCAGGCCCGGCGGGGCTCGTCCGCGGAGCCGCAGGCCTGCAGCCCGGCCCGACCCGCCGGCCTCGCCATGGCGAAGCTGCTGCCGGCGCAGGAGGCGGCCAGGATCTACCACACCAGCTACGTGCGGAACGCGCGCGCCGTGGGCGTGATGTGGGGCACGCTCACCATCTGCTTCTCCGTGCTGGTCATGGCCCTCTTCATCCAGCCCTACTGGATCGGCGACAGCGTGAACACCCCGCAGGCCGGCTACTTCGGGCTCTTCTCCTACTGCGTGGGCAACGTGCTGTCCTCCGAGCTCGTCTGCAAAGGCGGCCCGCTCGACTTCTCCTCTGTCCCCTCCAGAGCCTTCAAGACCGCCATGTTCTTCGTGGCCTTGGCCATGTTCCTCATCATCGGCTCCATCGTCTGCTTCAGCCTGTTCTTCGTGTGCAACTCGGCCACTGTGTACAAGATCTGCGCGTGGATGCAGCTGGCGGCAGGTGAGTCACCGGTGGCGGGAGGCCGGGAGATCGCCGGGGTAGGAAGGACTCCAGGGGCCGCGCTCGTGCTGATCCCCTCGTGCTTTGGGGTCCTGAGCCCAGAGGGAAGTGACTTGTCCAGGGGCCACCGCTCCTGACAGAAGACACCGGGTGTCCCGACCCTCTCAGGCCACCACAACAGAGGTTGGTGCAGCTCTGGGAGGGACGGAAGGAAGTTCCGCCGTCAGCACTGCGGGCGTGGGACCCAGCGGGGCCGGAAGTGAGGCCAATTCCAGTCACCTGCTCTCTAGACCACCTCCTGCCCACTTCTGGGCATTGCTCTTCCGCCCCGTCCCTGCGACTCCCTCCTGCCCTCCTGCCTCAAACTGCTCTCGCAGACGGGTCTCAGGTCGGCCCTAAATTTTGGAGTAGAACTGTCATACTGGGTGTGGCCTCTCCCTTAGAAACTCGCGTCCCAATTGTCCTCTTTCTTTGGGAAGCCGAGGTCTTTGTTCCCCAGGTGTGGGGGAGCGGTATTTTGCGGGGCCGGGCGCTGCCCAGGGTTCTGAAACGCTGTGCGTGGTCAGCGGCCCTGGTGGCGTCCTGAGACCGGGCCTCCCGGCCCTTTCTCCTGTTCCTGGCCCACACAGGGCTCTTGGTCCTCCGGCCAGCTGGTCCTGCTGTCAGCTAGAGCCAAGGGAGAGACGCATAAGACTTCATCTGCAGCCTTTGGTCCCTTGCACTCAAGCAGTCCATGTGGGGCAGATGTCCGGGAACAGTGCCTGGGACCAGAGATGTCTTGGTTAGAATGAGAAGTGGTGCTTTCTTCGGGGGAATGAACAGGGAACTGAGTCCCAAAACACCAAACACACAGACTTAAGACTGCAGAGCTGGAGGGGGCTCCAGAGAGCTGTGCCCCCTCCCCAACCCAGATGAAGAATCAGGCTGAGGGGGAGAGTCAGATTTGGCCAAGACTATAGCCATCAGCTGGCAGGTGAGGACTAGGAGAACTAAGGCAGTGCATGTCGAGAAACTAGGTGTATTCTAGAAACATTTTCGTTGAGGCCCATATTTACACAAGTAAATGATTTACAAAATAGTTTCACATATACCGTCTGGAGGATACTCATCACCCTACAGGTGAGTGTCCCTTGGTTAGACGGAGACAGTTGCTAGTGGGTCACTTGTCTGTGAGCACAGTTAGTGAGGGACACACTCTTAGCTCCCACTCTTGCACCCAGGACACTGGCCAGTCCCCTGACCATCTCCCTGTCCTCTGTCATCTCTAATGCTAAGGGAGAGGCTGGGGCAGGAGTGAGGCAAGTCTTGGTGGGCAGTAGGGAGGAGGTGGAGGTCACCATAGCAAGGAAGAAGGGGAAGGCAGACTCAGCCTTTCTGTGTGGAGGAGGAGGAGGAGCATGGGCACTGATGTGCCTGTTGCAGGCCCTCCATACCGGGCTATGGGATAGTGGGCACATGGCGCCCCTCTCATTCTGTGCTGTCCCCTCCCCAATATCCTGCAACAGGTGCCGCTGGCTAAGCATGTAGTGCCAGCGGGGCCTCACCTGGCCATTTAGTCAGTCCCTATCTGGGTCACAGAGATGGAGACACTGAGCAGAGGGGCCAGGTGGCAGCCCATGCAACTTTGATGTCAGGGAGGGTGACAGTGGTGTCATGTTCCCGTCTGCTGTGAGCCGAGACAGGGAGGAGGAGGGCCATGGCCCTCGGTCGGCAGCTGGGAGATGTGTTGATCTGAGGAGCCCTAAACCCCCTTGCCCACAAAGGAGGAGCAGAGGACTGGCCACTGGGGTGGTGTGGGGCGGTAGCTGGGTAAGTTAGCTGTGCTTCTGCATGCCAGATGTGGGCTGAGTGTGGGGCCAGCTCCTGGAAACAGCCAGGCGAGTTGCTTGTCTTCTCTGGGTCTTGGCAAGCCCAGTCTTAGTCTGTTCAGGCTGCTCTAGCAAGTGGTCTGGGCCCGGGGAATGGGGTTTAAACAACAGAAATTCATTTCCCACAGCTTTGGAGGCTGGAAGTCTGAGATCAGGCCAGCAGTTCAGTCTTGGTGACAGCCTTTTTCTCATTACGCACTGCTGGTTTCCTGCTGCGTTCTCAACGGACAAGAAGAGGGGCAAGAAGTCTCTCTGGGGTCCCTTTTACAAGGGCTCTGATCCCATTCACAAGGGCTCCACCCACATGACCTAGTTCCTTTCCCAAAACTCGACTTCCAATACCACCACACTGGGGTTAGGATTTCATCATATGCATTTTGGGGGACACAAATATTCAATCCATTGTACCTGATCTGTAGACTGTCATGACAGTTCCCCCTTCCATGGGGCTCTTGTGAGGATGGGATGATGTAATGCCTGAAAAATACTCTGTATAGTAAATGTGAAAAACATGGAAAACATCAATCAGGATGAGAAGTGACAACACAGGATCAAACAACTCTGACTTCAGTGGGTTGACACAAACATTTATTTCTGCCTATAGTGCATGCCCAGTAGGGACCAGTTGGGGGTTCTCTTCTCCCCACTGAACCCAGGCTGGCAGAGCTTGTTGGCACTGGCTGGCATTATTGTGGAGGGGAAGACAGCCTTGAAGATCTCCCACTGGCAGTTAAAGGCTCTGGCCTGGACATGCACACCATGTTCCCGCTCACCTCTTATTGGCCAAAGGAATTCATGCAGCCCTGCCAAGGGAGGAGAGCCAGCAAGTGCAGTCCCAGCTTGCAGCTAGAATGTCTGTGAGGAGCTCTGATGACATCACATCCTCCCAGGTGGCTTCCATTTGACTCCATTGCCAACAACAATAGCAATGATCAACATTAATTGGCCACTTAGCAGGTACCAGATTCCATGATTGGTGTTTCCCCACTCCCACCCCTGCTGTGAGTCAGGTATTAGTCTGTTTTGCAGATGAGAACACCAGGCTGGCCTCTACTCAGAGAGGGGGGCTGTGTCACCCACGGTAACAACCATCTGTTTCCAAGACAGAGGTCCTGGGCTCTTTCCCAGAGCACCGTAGGAGATGCCATGGAAAGGGGAGGGGGCCACCAGAGGAGAGGTGGGAGCATGAGGTGTCTGGGACAGCTCCTTCCCACATCCACCCAGGCACTCAGCATTTGTGGGTGCCCCTTAGGCCAAGGGCCAGGCCAGCCCCTGGAGGGAAGGGCCCAGCCACACAGGTCTCACCAGACTGCTGTGGGAGAGGTGGGTTCCTCTCTCACACTAAGGGTCCTGTCCCTTAATTTCCCACAAAGTGTGCAATGTTGCCACTAAATACATTCAGCCCTTGGGCTGGGATTTAGCTCAGTGGTTCTGCTGCCTGCCTCCCAAGCACAAGGTCCCGAGTTTGAACCCCGTACCAAAAAAAAAAAAAAAAAAAAAAATTCAGCCCTTTTGGAGAGATATCATGGGCTGGGGTGGAGCGAATGAACATTGAAGTCAGGAAAGAAGAGAAATTCAGGTCTTGGCTCTGCTTGGCTGGATGACTGGCAGGCATGGCGCCTTGGTAAGACGAGGACATTAGTATCTGGCCTGCTTCACAGAACTGTGGCCGGGGTCAAGCTGGTGCATGAACTAACTTGTGGTCTATGAGAGGACTACATAAATGAGCTTCTATAAAAAGCAAAGGAGACTCCTGCGGGCCGCACCTCATAGACTGGTTTGCGGACACCCCAGGGAGTTGCTCGAGCCCGAATCCCCAGACCTACCTGTCTCTGCCCCCGGAGCAACTTGGTGGGGAAACATGGCCGCCCTGACGACGGTCTTGTCTGTGGCGGCCACCGCCGTTGCCGGTCGCCGGGTCAACCACTGGGGCGGGCGCGGCTGCAGGGACCAGTGTTGGCGCCGCAACAGAGTTGTTATTATAGAGAAAGATAAACACAGTCATTTCTACAACCAAAAAAATGACTTCAGAATTGAGCACAGTATGCTGGAAGAATTGGAAAATAAACTGATTAACAGCAGGAAAATGGAAAGAGCAAAAATCCAGCAACAATTAGCCAAAATACATAACGATGTAAAGAAACTTCAGCATCAGTTAAAAGATGTGACGCCTACCCTTGATTTTGTTGAAAAGCTCAGAGAAATGATGGAAGAAATTGAAAATGCAATCAACACTTTTAAAGAAGAACAAAGACTGATATACAATGATCTTATTAAAGAAGAAAAAACAACAAATAATGAGTTGAGTGCCATATCAAGAAAAATTGACACATGGGCTTTCAGTAATTCAGAAACAGAGAAAGCTTTCAGAGCAATCTCAAGTAAAGTTTCTGTAGACAAAATGACACCAAATACTCTTCTAGCAGCAGTGGTAGATTTTGAAGAATTCCTGCAGCAAACAGGAGGGCGATGAGGGGCTGGGATAATTATGACCACCAGAACTTTATAAAAGTAAGAAATAAACGTAAAGGGAGGCCTGCATTGATGAAAGAAGTTCTAGAACACCTCCCAGGAAGAACACAGGATGAAGTTCAACAGCATGAGAAATGTTATCAGAAATGTCTGACTCTAGAAGAAAGAAAAAAAGAAGTCCGTTCAGAATTGGAAAACTAAAAAGCAGGAAAAGAAGCAAGAAATTTTCAAGTTAAAAGAGAAGGTAGACAATATTCCTGTGCTTTTTCATAATAAACCAGAAGGTAATCAAAGGCAAAAAGAGGAAGAAAGAAACAGAAGTTGGCAGTTGAAGCTTGGAAAAAACAGAAAAGTATAGAACTGTCAATGAAATACGCTTCTAAGTTAAAAGAAGAGGAAGTGAAAGAGAAAAAGCAGCAGGAAGAACGCCAACACCAGATTAAACTAAAATTACTATTAGAAAGTTACACCCAGCAGAGGAAAGGACAAGAAGAATTTCTGAGGCTTGAAAGAGAGATAAAAGGCAGAAAAGGCAGAAAAAGGAAAACTATTGGTGATGAAATTTCCAGGTTTCAAGAAGGAGATTTATATAAACTTGAATTGAAAATTCTAGATAGACAAGCAAAAAAAGAGGTAAAGGCAGAAAAACAAAGAAGATTGCCAAAATTAAAGGAAAAGGTTGAAAATAATGTTAGTAGAGATCCCTCTAGGCTTTACAAATCTACCAAAGGTTGAGAAGAACGAACCAAAAGCATGGGACCAACAGGCTCTGGGCCACTTCTACATATCCCACACAGGGCTATTCCAACCTGGAGACAAGGAATGTAGAGGAAACTATGAGACAATGGAAATACTATTCACTTGATGAGAGTGCTAGCATATTCAGCAATACCAGGAGAGTGTGACTAACCATATTCTTTAAATATCACTACCCTAGTCAGACTGCTTATTGTGCTGTATGTAAATTGAGAGGTACTGTAAGTTTTATTCTGTATCATTAATGGTTCCTGTTTCTACTAAAAGGTATTTAGGGAGGGTATATGTTGGCCTGTTACTGATATAAAAGTTATTTATATAAATTTGTTATAAACATCCATTTAAATACCCAAAGCATTTCAAAGATACTTTGTTTTTGTCATGGCATAGCAAAATAAATCGAGGCAGTCATAGAGAAGCTTGCTTGCTTGCTTGCTTGCTTTCTTTCTTTCTTTCTTTCTTTCTTTCTTTCTTATTGGTACTGGGGATCAAACTCAGGTCCTTGCACTTGCGCAGCAGGTGGCGAATCCACTGAGCTAAATCCCCGGCCTGAGAAGCATTTTTTAAATAAAAATTTTGTAACTTTTGTACCTTGGAAGTAAGTTAGCTTGAGTAATAAAAATGTCTTTTTTGGGCTGGGGATTTAGCTCAGTGGTTTCACCACCTGCTGCACAAGCGAGAGCACCCGAGTTCGAGTTTGATCCCCGGTACCAAAACAAAAATGTCTTTTTTAAAGAGTTACAAAATAACTTAGTACTTTTTCTAAGTTCACCATATTGGTAGTTTGTCAGTTATTACTTTTTTGTGTAATAAATATTTTGTATTTTAAAAAAATCAAAGGAAGTCATTTAGCTGGGGAGATGGGACCCTGATCTTCGTATTTTGTTTGATCTACTGACCCTGCTTGTAGGAAGGAGCTAGGTTCAGACAGTGCAGATCTGGGTCCCCTGAGGTGCTTCTCTGGGCACAGCCAGGGCACTGGAGAGTCTCCGAGGCTGTGGAAAGAGGGCCAGGTGGGAGAGGGGTGCAACGAGAGGAGGCGCCTTGCTGCATGGCAGTTGTGCATGGGGTCATATCGCTGGATGGTCATCTGTCTGTGCTTTACCTCAGTGAAGCCGAAGTTGGAGAAGTGGGGCAGGCAGTGAGAATGGAATTTCCCGTGTAAGCAGTGAGGCGCAGGGTGGCTGGCACTCTCCCCATGCCCGTTATGGACCTACAGGCCTAGGTGCTTTGCGAGTCTCAACTCATTTGAAATCACGGCAGCCCTAACAGGTAGGCGGCATTGTCTTTATTTTATAGACAAGGAAACTCAGGCAAAGAAAGTCTAAGTAGCTCACTCCAAGTTGCACAGCTAGTCAGCAAGGAGCTGGGCTTGAAATCCAGGTGGTGTGGCCTGGTGTTTCCCGTGTCTCCTGTGGAAAGGAAGCCCTGGAAGAGTGCTATAGAAACAGGGTTCCTGAGGCTCATCAGAGGCACCCAGGTTCAGGGGCGCATGGGCAACACCACCGGCTGACGTGGGTGGGGAGGAGGGAGGCCCACGGAGAAAGCAGTCAGGATGGGGCTAGGCAGCCTTCCTGTGCTCCCTGAACTGAAGAACATGAGGCAGAGCACCCGCCAGTATGCCGGGGACTGCAGAGAGGAAAAACACCACCAATTAAAGCTGTGGCCCGGTGCTCTCCGGGCTGAGGTCAGATTTTGGGGTAGGCGGTGCCTCACTGGCTGGGGGCCTGGCAGGACCACCTGGTGAGTGGCAGATGCCACGCTGGCTGAGGTGCTCGGCTCCACCCCAACTGTGGGCCCCAGAGGTTCCTACTGTAGCTTCTGGAGCCTCAGGTTTTGACATGTGTGCTGCAAGAAGGATGCTAGGAGCCACCTCCTGTGCCGCTCAAGGTCACCCAAGGACCAGGAGGTAACAAGAGCAGCTCAAGGTGGGAGGCAGCGCGCCAGCCCACCAGCCTGACACCCTCTGCTCCCCTCATCCCCTCAGCCGCAGGTCTAATGATTGGCTGCCTGGTCTACCCAGATGGCTGGGACTCCAGCGAGGTGCGGCGCATGTGTGGGGAGCAGACGGGCAAGTACACGCTGGGCCACTGCTCCATCCGCTGGGCCTTCATGCTGGCCATGCTCAGCATTGGCGACGCCCTCATCCTCTCCTTCGTGGCTTTCGTGCTGGGCTACCGGCAGGACAAGCTCCTCCCTGATGACTACAAGGCAGATGGAAAAGGTAATGTACCTCCTGCCACATGGGGTCCCCTGCTCGGGCATCCCAGTTAGGCACCTAAGTCTTGATTCCTGGGCCGGGGACACCAAGACTAATCAGATGCAGCCCTGGTGCTTTGTGACCAGTTAAAGGTCTGCCGTAGCTGATGGCCCTCAGGAGTCCCTGCCAACCGCTCCCTCCAGCTCCTCCTCCGTAGGGGGCGCTGTGCTCCCGCCTCACCGGGCTCCCCGTCCGTCCTGAGGGGCTGACCTCTCTCCAGTCACCAGTCACCTTCTTGGCCCAGGATAGGCCTGTCTCACACCCCTAGGACCCTGACATGCCTCCCCCCAGCAGGTGGCTGCCGCTAGGGCCCTGGTGCTCCTCAGGGCTCTCCCTCTCTGGCAGCCCTGGGACCTGGACTAGTGGCAGCACCAAACGCCCTGCACCCTAAGGCCAAGGACACTTCCTTGAGGCTTGGGACTCAGGTGTGACTCCTACCAACGAGGCCTGACTCAGCCCCACAGTGGAGTTTTTGAGCTGTTAGGGAACTGTCATGGTATCCATAGCCTGGTGGGGTTGTGTCCAATCTATGAAGTCAAGAAATAATTAGGGTTGGGGTCGGCAAGCATGGCAGACTTCTGGGCACACATGCCCAGGTACTTATTGGGCATAAGCTAAGTCACCTGGTAACTTTCCTAATTATGTTCAGACCTGGGCCCCTGGTCCTGCGCTAATGTTTCACTCAGAAGGTGGATCTAGTGCCAGAGAGCAGACTCCAAGCTGGCCTTCCCTTTCCCCCAGCTGCTTTCTTGGTTACCTTCTGCCTCAGATCGAGCCAGAAAGTGGGCTGCACAGTGGGCTGGCCCCTCTTCTTTCTCCAGCCTTTTCCCTAGCTGCCTCCTGCCTCCCCTTGAGGATGCAGTGGGGAAGGCAAGCAGAGCTGGGGTTTACTGAGCCTCTTTCCACGTGCAGGAGCGACAGGGCATTTGTCCACAGGTGCCATCTTTATTTACTCCTCACAGCAACCCCGAGAGCAGTGCTGGAGTCGGGGCTTGGCACCTGCACAGCCAGCTCTTCCTCCGATGAGGGGGCTTCTCCGGGAGGACGCAGGGCGCCACTGTATACATCCTGCCTAGTGCTCAGCTCCAGGCATGGTCTCCCTGGAGTCTGCCTGGACACATATCCAGGAGGGTCTTCATCTGCAGTCTTTCTTTCTTCCTCAGAAGAGATTCTTTCAGTTGGAGACATTTTCATTCACATGAATCCTCTGCTTTGTTAGAGATGGTTTTGTGATTTGACACTTCCCTTCCTAATCAGACTGTCAGTTCATGTTCCTCTCCTTCGACCCTCCCCTCAGATCCCATCCATCTTGTCCTCAGTGGTTTCAGATTTTTCGTCTCTGCATATTTTAGTTCCTTCACTATCATACAATACACAAAAGAATCCTTGCCTTATTCTTGTTTATAACCTTTGAGGAAACAGCTATGTAACCTTTCTGAATACATCCAGTGCCTGACTAAAGGTCTCTATTTCTTCTGTCAAAGCACAAAGTGGTCCTAGTTCTTCTCAGTCACTTTACCTCCACATTTTTCCAGTACAAAGAACGCGGACCCTGCTCTGTCACTTCCCTTGTGTGGAATGAAAGAATGAAGGCAGACACGAAGGCTAGTGCAAGGATGGAGTTGCTGATCCACTCTTTGGGGGTTTAGGGGGCAGAGGTGATGCATACAGGCTTGGAGACAGAATGGGTGTAAGCTTAGCTTTGTTTCTTTTTTTTTTTTTGGTGCCGGGGATTGAACTCAGATCCTTGCGCTTTCGAGGCAGGCGGCAGAACCACTGAGCTAAACCCCCGGCCCGCATAAGCTTAGCTTTGTGATCCTGCAGAGGCTATGTGATTGCTGAGCCTCAATTTCCTCATTTGGGCTTAATTTCAATGGGGGAGGGTTCTTCTTCACTTGTAAAAGACAAAACACAGAAAAAATAAAACAAAAGAACCTAAAAAATGAATTCTAAAGATTACACCAGGAACAAGATGAGGGTATCTACTTTTGTCATTTCTATTGAACATTGTACTGGAAATTACAGCTAGGACAGTTAGGCAAGAAACTTAAAAAAACCCATTTAGAAAGGAAAATGTAAAGTAACAGCAACAACAAGCCTATTTGGAGAGACATGATCTTATATATGAAAGATCCTAAGTAATCCACTAGAAAACGATTACAGCTGAGACACAATCTTAGCAAAGTTGCAGTATACAAGACTAATACACAAAAATCTATTGTTTGTACACACTAGCAATGAACAATCTGAAAATGAAACTGTTTAATGCATAATAACATAAAATACTTAGGGATAAATCTAATGAAAGAAGTGCAAGCCTGGAACATAAAAATTACTAACATTGCTGAAAAAAAATGAAATGTCTAAATAAATGGAGGGACATCCATGTTCGTTGATGGGAAGACTTAATCTTGTTAAGATGGCAATACTTCCTGAACTGGTCTGCAGATTCTTTGCAACCCCTACCTGAACCTCATCTGGCTTTTTGCAGAAATTGGCAACCAGGGCCTGGGGATTTAGCTCAGTGGCACTGCACCTGGCTCACAAGCGCAAGGTCTTGAGTTCGATTTCCGGTACTGGAAAGAAAAGAAAAGAAAGAAAGAAAGAAAAAAAAGAAATTGGCAACCTAACCCTAAAATGCATATGGAAATGCAAAGAACTCAGAAGTCCAAATAATGCTGAAAAACAACAAAACTGGAAGACTCACACATTCCAATTTTAAAACTTACTATATTCTTTTTTGTTTGTTTTGGTACCGGGGATCGAACTCGGGTCCTTGAGCTTGTGCAGCAGGTGGCGAAACCACTGAGCTAAATCCCCAGCCCCCTCCAATTTTAAAACTTATTACACAGTTACAGTCATCAAGATGGTGTGGTACTGGCATAAAGATAGGCATTTGTTCAGTGGAATAGAACTGACACACCAGAAATAAACCCAAACATTTACACTAATTTTCGACAAGGGTGCCTAGACTGTTGAATGGGGAAAATAATAATAATCTTTCCAATAAGCGGTGCTGGATAGCTACACACGAAAGAATGAAGTTGGACCCATACCTCACACCATGTACAGAAAATTAACTCAAAATGGACCAAAGACCTAAATGTAAGATATAAAACCATAAAAATCTTAGAGAAAAATATAGGTATAAATCTTCATCAACTTGGTGTAGGCCGTGGTTTCTTAGGTATAATACCTATGCACAAGCAACCAAAGAAAAGAATAAATTGCGCTTCATCAAATTAAATTTGTGATTCAAAGACACCAATAAGAAAATGAAAAGAACACACAGGTTGGGAGAAAATATTTGCAAGTCATAATCTTAGGTCTATTACCCAGAATATATTAAGAACTCCTACAACTCAGCAATAAAAAGACACACAAATGTGTTTATCCATACAATGAAATACTAACTAGCCATAAAACAGAATGAAGTACTGCTAATTGCTATGATGTGGATGAACCTTGAAAACATTATGTTAAAGAAGCTAGGCACAAAAGACTGGCTTCCATTGGGGTATGTATGATTCCATTTATACAAAGTACTCGCAACAGGCCAATCCACAGAGGCAGATTAGTGGGTTTCTACAGCTGGGCAGGGGGCGGATTGAGTGTTACTGATGGACACAGTATTCCTTCCTTGGGTGATGGAAATGACTCAGAAAGTGAAAATGGTTGCCCAATCTAGTGAATATACTAAACACCATTGAGTTGTATGCTTTAGTGAATTTTGTTAATAAAAATAAAAGATTGTGCTGAGGATTTGATAGCAAAGCACTAACAAAGCGTACACTAATAGCTGATTAATAAATTAGTTTTCTTTCCAGTTTTTCCTTTTTTATCACCCATCTATCCAATCAATAGCAAATCCTGTGCCCCTCTTGCCCACACCTGTATGGGCACTGGGGGTACAGAGGTGAGTGAAGAAGTCCAAGTTGGAGCTTGCAGTCTGGTAAGGGAGACAATCATGCAATACAGAATTATGAGCTGATAAATGGCATGAGCAAAATGTGCACACTTTCTTTAGAGTTAGAGGAACCTGAGCTATTTCAGAGACGGAGTAGTGTGTGGGAACTTCTCTAAAAACAAAGCTTGGCTGTAAACACACGCTGTTCTTTCATTACAGAGGAAGTCTGAAGCAGCTGGAGGGTCGGTGAGTATTTCTTTTTCTTTCTGGTACTGGGATCCAACTCAGGACCTTGTGCTTGCCAGGCCGGCACAGCGCCACTGAGCTACATTCCTGGCCCGGTGATATTTCTATTGCAGGGTGGTCTGCATGCCATTGGAAGGGCTGGGGCCGCTTCCTTTGTGGCTCCTCAGGCAGAATGACTCGTAGGGCTTTGGTGGAGGCGGGCGTCGTGTGGCCAGGCGAGAGGACCAATAACCGATCCCGCCAGGAGTTATCTGGCATCAGAGACCTCCCCTGGGGGCAGGCAGAAAGCTTTTAAGGTGTGTGCAGGGTTTTTTGAGCCAGGGTCTAGATAGTCCAGGCTGGCCTCAGGGTGAACCTCCCGCCTCAGCTTCCTGAGTGCTGTGATTACAGGTGTGCATCACCATGCCCAGCCTAGGTGTGTTTTGAGATGTGGAAAAAGAACAAGGACAGAAAGGACAGAAGGAATAATTGAAAATAGGCACTGGGTTAGCTTCCTAAGCTCATTTTTGGTGGAGCCTGGCAAATGAGAATACATTATTTTTTGAAATTAGTATGTCATATAGGCTCTTATTTTCAGAAAGAATTTAAGTGCTTTGTAAGAAATATACTAGAAAATCTAGTAAAATAGAAAATAAAAATCAGAGGCAGAACAAAAGTATTAAAAAGCTAGGCTGAGGCCCGGGGATTTAGCTCAGTGGTTCCATTGCCTGCCTCGCAAGCACAAGGACCTGAGTTCAATCCCCGGTACCAAAAAAAAAAAGCTAAGGTGAGCTGGGGATTTAGCTCAGCGGTGCTGCACCTGCCTCACAAGCACAAGGTCCAGAGTTTGATCCCCCATACCAAGCGGGGGGGGAGAATCTAGGCTAATAGAATTACTATATTGAGTAGTAAATTTAGCTTGATATTCCCAAGTGCAAGGTCCTGAGTTCAATCCCTGGTACAGAAAAAAACCTTTAGCTTGATAGCTAAGGCAAAAAGAAAAACAATGAGTTAACTTGTTTTAATATGATTCAAAAGGAAGCAGAGCGTATTTGTTGTCTTTTAGTTTCCAAAATGTGACTTAACATTAAGGAATAGAAAGAAAGGCAGGCAGGCCCAGCTATCAGTGTCACCTAACAGCCGAGGGCCTAGCGCAGGCCAGGTAAAGCTTTGTGTAGGGAGGAGGCATTATCTCCATTTCAACTATTTTTATTTTGCAGAGTACCGATCTTGACCAAGCAGATACACTGCTTAGGGTAATTATAAATAGCACCCCCACTCCATTGGAACATGATTCTCAAACTGCAGTGTGTAGTCCCCCGTGGGGCCTGTTAAATGTGGATTCCAACTCAGCTGTTCAAGGGGGCTGCAGACACTGCCTTTCTAACCAGCTTCCTGGGATGGGGAACATACTTTGAGAAGCAAAGTACTGTATTAGAGGATCTGAAACATTTCTTTCTTCATGTTTTTGTTATGTTCATTATTACGAGTTTTTTAAAGCCACAAATTCTGCAGCACTGCTATACCAGTTTTCTAAATCAGACCTTGGTTATTAGACATTTGGGGTTATTATTGTGGATAATAACGTTTTGCTGCTGCTGCTAAATTGCCAAGTGCAATCATTGAATCAAAGTGTAACTGTGTGTCTATGCTGCCCACCCCTGTAGAAAAGACCAGAGAGGGGCCTCGAGTACATCCTGATGCACAAATGAGCAGGACTGAAGTTAAAATGTGAGCAAACGTTTTTGTTTTAAATAGGCTTTAAAAAATGTCAAGTTTCATAACGCTGCCAATCTTGTTTTTCTTACCTCACAGATCATCTATTTCCCAGACAATGGAAAATAAAGGAATCTAATTCTTCAGAAATAAAAAGTTCTTTCCTGGGCCAGGGATTTAGCTCAGTGGTTCCAGGGCCTGCCTCGCAAGTGCAAGGTCCCGAGTTCGATCTCCAGTACCAGAAAAAAAAAAAATTCTTTCCTTCCAACTTTCTTATCCCTGGCTACCACAGACTCAAAGCCTTTCACCACAGGATCAGAGCACAAGCCTCCTGAGACAAGGCCTCTTGCTGCTTGCAGAGAAAACTTCAGGTGCAGAACTGCAGCGATTCAGACTGAGCAGCATGGGGGCGCCCACTGAGCATGGGAGAACTGCACTCTCACAGGGCCACCCCATGTCACCTATGGGGGCCTCTGGGCCCTCGGACAGCTTTGCTAATGGAGACACTCACTTGACTGGAGACACCAACCACTCAAACAGGGCTACTGAAGAGGCGGCTGGAAGTGCGCTGGATCATTCCAGGCTGAGGGTTAGGGGGTCCTTTGCTTCTCCCTTTTTTCTTACTGCTGTTCAGAGAGGGGTAAGGAGAGATCACCAGAATTTGAATCCTTTAACATCCATCAGGTAGTCTATTAAAGATTAGGTAAACACAGGCTCTAAAAATTCCAGGGGCCTGGGGTATATAGCTCAGTGGTACAGTTCTTGCCAAGTATGGGTGAGGCCCTGGATTCCATCCTAGCACCATAAACAGTTTCCGGTAACAACAAAAACCTGAGGGCAGGGGATTTAGCTCAGTGGTTTTGCCGCCTGCTGCGTAAACACAAGGAAGAGTTCGATCCCTGGTACCCAAAAAAACAAAACAAAACAAAACCCAAACAAACCTCTTGAGACTAATTTGAGACACCCATCCCAAGGAACAACAAAAACCATGGTTCATCCTAGTGTCCATCCTAACTAACCTAACCAGAACTGTTACCAGATTCAGAAATCTGTTACTTATATCCCAGTCATTTGTTATAAGAATACAGTAAATTTTTTTTGAGACAGGGTCTCACTACATAGTTCAGGCTGGCCTTGAACTTGTGGCAATCTTCCTGCCTCAGCCTCCCTAGTGCTGGGATTACAGGCGCTTGCCACCACACCTGGCCTAGATGTCATTTCTTGACACAAACTTTGGATATGGCACACTACCTGCCAGCCTCAGTGTAGGTCACACCTCACTGCAGTAAGTGCCCTGCCTCAGGGTGTGCGCAAATGATGTTGTTGACCACCTGCAGTGAATGGGCCTGAAGAGTGGATCCAGCCTTTGTCCATTTCCCAAGCCACTTGGAACTAATGAATCTTGCTGCTTCATCCAGTGATGTGGGGCATTTTCTCATCCTTGGCTGTCATACATTTAATGCATCTTAACAGCTGACCGTGTTGTCCCTTGCTCAGTTCACGTGGGCTAGGAACAAACATCCCATGCTGTCCCAGTGAAACAGTTGGCGATGAGAACTATTATCGTGGAATCCGACTGTCACTTGGTCCCTAGCAGCTGGTCTTGGTTTACAAGACCAAATTTTTCTTTTTTTTTTTGGTACCGGGGATAGAACTCGGGTCCTTGCGCTTGCGCAGCAGGTGGCGAAACCACTGAGCTAAATCCCCGGCCCCCAAATTTTTCTTTTGCTGAAAATTTAATTCACAAGCATTTCTTTTATGCAAGCTTGAGAAACAACAGAATTCGACAAATTCTGTAGCTTCCTGACCTTTCCAGCCATGCAAGAAGTTTCTAAGTCTCTCCACCCTCAAACTGCTCCTCCCTGACATGGTAACTATGGTAACTATGGTGGTCCACAGAAGGGCCGGGTTGTGGTGCATCTGGGACCACCCACTCCTTACTCCACCAGAACAGCGAATTCCACTGAGGCCAGAGCAGTTTAACCAGTGGCCAGTGCTGGGAAGGAAGCCTATCACCTTTTGCTTTATCTTCAAGGAAACTAAATTCAACCCCATTAATAACAGTGATTTTGGTTCAGGTATCCTATCAGCTCTCTTTTCAAGTGGGTTTACCTGTAAATGAATTTAAAAAAAAATTAAGGCACCTCGAATCTCATTACCTTTGAAAGCATATAGAAAAAGTCAATGAAATTGGCATCTTCTTACCAAGCTGTTTCTTTCCTCACTCTGGCTTACCTGGCTGCCTGGGGCTGGGGCCAGGAGAAGGCAGGTTGGTTCAAAAAGACTAGTCATTTGCAGCTCAAGTGGGAACAGAGAGGAAATCCTAAATACTTGCATTGTATTACAGCCCCAGGTTCGTTACCTAGTGCTCTCTGACAAATTGTTACAGAACTCAGTGGCTTAACACACTTACCCCACAATTTCTGTGGGTGAGGAATTCCGGCAAGGCTTAGCTAAGTATCTTAGCTTCGTGGCTTTTCATAAGGCTGTTATTATGCTGGGTCCAATCCCAAACTCCCTGGTTGTTTGCATGCTTATTTCTTGGGTTGTTGGGACTTAGACCCTCGGTCCCTTGTTGGCTGGCTGCCCCTCTGAGGCCACTCACGTGGCAGCTAGCTTCCTTAAAACAAAGGTTCCAAAAGAGAAACAGCCAGGTGCCAGGTGTGTGGCACAGGCCTGAAATTTGGAAGCCTGAGGTGGCAGGATTGCTGTGAGTTCAAGGCCAGGTTGAACCATAGGAGCAATACCCTGTCTCAAAACAAAAACAAAAATAAGGAAGGAGGGAGGGAACAAAAAGCCACAGCCCCTTGGTTTTAGAAATGCTATCCCATTTTGAGCTTACTTTGTTAGGACAGTCAAAATGCACAGCCCATACCCAGGTATGCAAATTACACAAGGACATGAAAGCCTGGAGGTGGGAATCACTAGGGCCCTTTTAATGGCTGTTTTTCAGTTATTCAGCCAATTTCTGCTGAAATGAGCATTTATCAGAATGGCTTATTGGCCCAAAGGTTATCTAGGAGGCCTACAGGCTGATGGAGCCATGTCTGTTCTGTGGTAAACTGGTTATAAAAGTGGAAGAGCTTCAATTCTTCACGCTCACCTCCACTGCTAGTGGGACCCACTGTATTTCCAACATCAACCACTGTATCTAGTCAATCCGAAGCAAGCAGGGCACATTGTCTTACTGGTGCAACTATGAAGAACAGTGCTTCTGTAAATAGTCCAGTTCTGCCATTTAGAGCATAAGGCTGTTCTGTATTAAAAGGGGCAAAAACTAGATCTGAATTAAGGACAAAGGAGAATATCATTAAAAGCCAACATGGCAGGCTACACAAATCAAACTGGACATCTACATGCAGTATTAGAAACTCTTCTCACACAAAATGGTGGGCCAGGGACATAGCTCAGTGGCAGCACGCCTGCTCCACAAGTTTAAGGTCCCCAGTTCGATCCCTGGTACAGGGGTAAGGGGATGGGGGAGTCTATAAACAGACTTAGACACTAAGGTAAACTTAATTCCTTGGCTAAAATTTCTGAACATTTAACATAATCTCAAAATTCCTAATTTCAGTTTTTGGTACCAGGGATCAAACTTGGGACCTTGCGCTTGTGAGGCAGGTGGTGGAACCACTGAGCTAAGTCCCCAGCTCCTAGATTTTAAATTGGGATATACAGGTTAATATTCCTGCAAGGACATAAAGATAAGTGCCTATCATGCATGGAGTTGATTCCATCTTTTAAAAACTTTAGTGACAAAAAAATAAACTTCCTTTTCAATAGACTTCAAGGTTTATAGCTATCTTTCTCTATTAATATCTTGGTCGGGGATTTAGCTCAGTGGCTGTGGCGCCTGCCTTGCAAGTGCAAAGTCCCGAGTTCGATCCCCAGAACCAAAAAAAAAAAAATCTTGAAGATTGTGAAAGAGCAGTTGCCAGTGCTCTTGCCAACTATCAAGGCACTGAGTATACAACTTCTCTATCACAAGGGCCTATTTTTATTTTGGTACCGGGGATCGAACTCCGGTCCTTGCTCATATGCAACAGGCGGCAAAACCACTGAGCTAAATCCCCAGCCCATGAGGGCCTATTTTTTAAAAAAGTAAATAAAAGTTCACGTTCTGTTATCAGTAAGCCGTCAATTTAGCACTTTCCCCATATGCTCTGGAGCAGCTAGGTGGTTTCCTTGTGGACACCTGATTTCCTGGTTCTTCTGAGGCAGCTACAAGCTTTCTTTCAACAGCACTAAAGGTTTCCTCAGACCCTGGGAGTCCTAGGTTCATACAGAGTTTAGAGACACCACCTTAATTTGTCAGTCTGGTAAAGACTAAGGACAATCTCAATAGGTTCTGTTCTGGCCAACACTCTGCATGTCTCAAGACTGCAAAATTAAAACAAATTAACCAGAACAGTTTATGTAGTTCAGGGTTAGGTGGGAAAGCACTTTTTTTTTTTAAAGCACTATGAAAATGCTAAAAGTACCACAAATAAAAATGAAAGGCAGGGCTGGGGATTTAGCTCAGTGGCACCACACCTACCTTGAAAACGCAAGGTCCTGAGTTCAATCCCTGGTATCGAGATTTTAAAAAAAGGCAACTTAACACCTGGAAAAATATAGGAAACAATAATGACTAAAACTTATTACCTTTAATAAATAATAGTCCTAAGTCATCAAATAAGGAACTCCAAAAGAAAGCCTGGGTAATTTAGGCAAATAAAATGTAAATGGTCAGTAAAACCCATAAAACAATTTTTTTGCCTCACTAGCAATCTAATATGCAAATTAAATTAAAACAAGGCACTCTTTGAGGGGGGGCAAGGTAGCTACCAGAAATAAAATGAGATACAAGGCCCATTCACACACCACTGGCATACAAAGTCCACCCACTCTCTGGGTAAGTTTATTAAAAGCCTTAGAGATATGCTTACTCTGGTTCACCACTCCATTTTAAATAATTTATTTTAAGGAATAAATTAGACATGTGTGTGAAAACCTGTGTACAGTTGTATTAATTAGCTTAATGCTTCAGGAAGTTTGTTATTTGCATTTTGCGCATGCTGTGGTAGTACTCTGAAACACACGCACTCTACAAATGTTATATTTAAATAGGGGCTGGGGATTTAGCTCAGTGGTTCTGCTGCCTGCCTTGCAAGTGCAAGGTACTGAGTTCGATCCCTGGTACCAAAAAAAGAAAAAAAAAGTTAATTTATATTTAAGTTCAAAAATATATTCAACTAATTTATTCTTCCACTTGCTTAGGTCAGATCAACTTGGGCAAAAATAAACAAATTTCTGGAAACATGTAGGTTATTGAATAATTTGTTTATTGTGCTGCACTTGTAAAGAAAACAGACAATGCACTCAGTAGAAAGAATAAAAATGTATCAGGGCTTTATTTTTAACTAACAGCAAATAGAAATCCTTTAGGGAGATCATGGAAATTTGACAGTGTTATGATTGAGCTCAAAAAACATTTGGGGAGTACATGTAAGATCAAGGTCTCCAGCTGCCTCTTTTCAGGTCTTCTAATTTATCTGGCTCCTTAAATGATAGGGAGCAAAGTCCTTATTTGGTGGGAAAGATTTCCAAAATGAAGTTGTAGGCTCTCTCTCCTATTAAAAATTGCTGCCATGTCAATTGCCACACAAGCCTTCTGTTTGCTTATGTCTTTTGGTTTTTTCACATTAATACCATCGTCAGAATTCTGTAATTCCACAACTGGGATTTTACAAAGTAGGAGAGACTGCAGTTAAGTCTGCTATTGCTTTAGATATGAATGCAGCTGACAACCCAGAGTAGATCAGGGTTGTGCAAGAATTTCCCTGCCGTTGTCTGAGATCACCTGTTCTGTTCTTGATAGATGCATAGATAGCCTGACTTAAAATTCTTTCTACAGGAACATGTCTGCCTTCAGGAGTAACCAATCGAGGATCTGATCAATGGCTGGCCAGTTCCTCAGAGTAGTATGTTTATGCGTTAAACGGACTGCCGATGGACACCACCACTTTCTCCTCCGTGGCGGTAAATGACAGAAGGGATTCCAGCTTCCCACACAGAAAGGTGGCTGAGTTTCACCAGGAGCTTGCCAGCACAGCCTCCTGCTGCCCCTCCTTGGCTCTGTAAATTAAAGAGTTCCACAGCTGCTTCCAGAGAACGCTGTCAGCTCCAAGGTCCACTTGGTCTGTGCTGAGTAAGTGGCTATGATCCCAATCCTGCCCTTCTTTTAGCTACCCAGTTTTGTCCAAGGAGTATGTCATGGTTGGGCAAGTTTACGAGAGGCCAGTCCTAATATGAAATTAACAAAGCCTTTCTGCATTAGGGGAAAAAAGCCTCAAGTACATTTCATTCATCTCAAAACTGCAGTTATAAACTTACATTATATAAGGAAATAGCAGCAGAGAATGGCTAACCTTAAAAAGTCAATGGGCAAAAACAGCCAATGAAAAAAATGCCATTCCACACTTCCTCTTGGTTCTTTTATCCAGCGTTTCATTCAAGACTCTTAAGATTGGGCTGGGGATTTAGCTCAGTGGTGACGCCACCTGCTTTGTAAGCGCAAGGTCTCGAGTTCGATCCCCGGTACCAAAAAACAAAACAAGACTCTCAAGATTGAGAAAATGAGAATGGCAAAGCCCCAGAGGGAAACGGCTCAAAATCACAATTTTGGGTAACATGAAACACTTAAATAAAGGCAGAGAACTGTTTGGAAAACAACCAGACCTCTAGGACATTTTCTCCTTAGATGGGAAAGCTCTGAAACCAAGACCTCCATTCTGGAGTCATCCTGATTCTTCAGTTATGGGGCAATAAACTCAAGAGCATCGGGTAAAGTGCTGTCCATGGATTTAAAAAACAAAAAGGGAAACAGCCAATGAAAGTAACTCTTGCTTTTAGGGTAACAGGACACACAGGAAAGGAGTGATTGAACACCTGAGGTTCTCAAGAAACTAGTATTCAATGGTTCCACTGCTGTTTACATTAAGAGTCAGACTGAAGATTTGAGGATCTTAGAGTTATTAAAGGATGAAAGGAATATGACAGTGCTTTAACTGTGATAAAATAGTACCAAATTTGGTGTTTACACAGCTCTTTCAAAAGGTAGTACCCTAAAAGTTGCAGGAAAAAACAAAAACAGCAAACAACAGAAACAATCCAGGAACACGATGTAGCCTGGATACAGCAAGTTTAATGTCTCTGTTGTACACAGAAGTAACACCCATTCCCCTCCTTCCTCATCCTTATGCTGGCAAACTATGTACCCTAGAAAATTTGATTTTCAGAGTCAGTGAATAAAAGGATGGGTCTACACATCTTCATCGCTCTTTTTAAAGAGGGTGCTTATAATTTAAAGGATGCCCTGTTGTAAAGGCAGGGGGGTAAGGGCAAGAGGCTGTTTCACATTTTTAGTTTAGTCTTTGGCAAAGCCCCACCAAGGCCAAATTCACCTGGGACACCCAATGGCAGTGGGGATCTCTACAGAGTCAAGTAGCAAACCCAAATGAACATGATGGATTAAGGAAAAAAGAATCTAGAAACCCTTGAAGAGCTTCACCCTGCAAAGAGGAAACTGCTTGGAGAAGAGGGCAGATGGTCAGTGTAGTGATCTCTGCTGCTGTGGGGCTGGGCAGAGGCTCAGGAGTTGAGCCAAGGATGCCGGAGACACTCGGCAGCAGTGGCTCTCTTCTCAGGGATGAGCTCCAACATGGGCAGTAAGAAATCTGTGAAGCCAGCCGCCTCTTCCTGAGACCACTCATACTTCTCCACTAGAACCTCAAAAAGGCCCCAGGGTTTCAGCTTCGTGATGTGTTTCAGGTCACCTGTGGTGAAGACAGTACAAAGAAAGCTGACCAACACTGACAAGTGACAAGATCCTCTTGTGGAAATCCAGGAGCTAATCCAGGTGGTCTCTAAAGAACCAAATTTTGCAATCAGAATCTAATGTTCCATTCATGAAGCACTGCTCTTAAGTCTGAATCTCAAGAAGTGCCTATATTTTTCATACAGTCCTAAAAATTTGACATCATTTTTCCTCTGTTCCAGGACATTTTTGGTCCCAGTTCAACTGGGCTGTGCCTGGGAATCAGGAATTAGTTATTTTCTAAATGCGTAAATACTAAACGCCTGCATCTTTGTATGTAAGGTCTGTATATGGTCTCACACGATGTCAGAGGCAGTCTACCTTCATACATTAAGAACAATTTGCACTGTAATCCCAGTTACTGAGAGGGCAGAGGTAGGAGGATTGCAAATTCAAGGCCAGCCAGGGCAATATCGCAAGACCCTGTCTCAAAGAAAAATTAAGGGGGCCGGGATGTAGCTCAATGATGGAGTACTTGTCTAACCGAGTACTTGTACTCGGTTTGTTCCCAGCACCACAAAAACAAATCCCCCAGGGCCAGGGATTTAGCTCAGTGATTCTACCGTCTGCCTCGCAAGCGCAAGGTCCCAAGTTTGATCCCTGGTACCAAAAAAAACCACAACAAATCCCCCACACCCCACTGTGCCTGTATTTTTTTGGGGGGGGCTCAATAATCTAGTAAATGTTGCTTCAAAATGCGGCAGTGATTTAAAAATGGAGTTAACACCATGTCAACATGAATAAAAGCAATAAGATTAAAAGAACAAACCCTATGTGGATTTCAGATATAGCAACATCATCATACTCTGAAACTTCAATATAACTGCTTCTTTTAAGTGATTTTTAGCTGGTGATTGAATGCAGGGCCTTGCGAATGCTAAGCAATTGCTCTATCACTCAGCTACACTCCTAGCCCTCAAGAGACAATTTTAGGAGACAGGGTCTTGCAATGTTGCCTGTGGTGGTCAAAAACTCCTGGGCTCAAGTGATCCTCCCACTTCATCCTCCTGATTAGCTGGCACTATGAGCACACACATTTGTGTCCAGCTGAAGTGAGCATTTTTAAAAGACAGCCTCTTTGGTGGTCTTGGGGACTAAACCCAGGGCCTTTGCACTGAGCTATATCCCCAGTCCTTTTTAAATTTTGAGACTGGGTCTCAACTAAGTCACTAAACTACCCAGGCTGGCTTAAACTTGTGATCCTTCTGCCTCAGCCCCCCAGAGTGCTGAGATTACAGGTGTGCACCACCATGCCTAGCTGAATTGGTCAATTTGGCGGGGGCGGGGGGGGCGGAACCAGGGATCGAACTCAGGACCTCATGTTTGCTAGGCAGGTGCTGTGCCACTGAGCTAAATCTCTGGCCTACGTAGGTCATTTATTAATGGTTATGAAAATAAAGGCTGCCGAGAATTTTTTCACATATGACATTTATTTGGACTCTTCTGTGGGCAGCAAATAGCTATTTAATCACCTACTTGGCACACACACTTTAATGTGACTTCTGCACATGAGGAAGAACTCTGAAGCATTTCACCATTTTCCCACTCAAAAAGTTTAGGAAAGGGTAATGATCTGCGGATGCTCCTATCAAGGGTTCAGAAAAATTTTTCTCAGCACTTGTGCAGAGGAAAAGGGGAACCATGGCACAATGGAGAGAAAGAGGCCAGACAGTATTCTAGATTCTCTAGGTTAGGTTTCCATATTTGTTTTATTCAAAATGTGTATAAGGAATACATTATCAATTCAAAAACTCAAAGTGGGAGTTTTATTATTTCTTACATTAGCATGTAATCATATAATCTTACAGACTGAAGTGTTGTTAGTCTGCATGACTGACATGGCAGTGACTGTGTTAGGTGACGCTAGGGTACAAAGGCCAGTGAGATGTAGCTCCTGACGGATGCTTAAACTAAACTTCTTTCCCTTCAGGAGGAGCAGCTCTTAGATCAGATGCCAGCAAAGATTTGTCCATTTTGCAGAAGTGTTGTAGTAGGACTAAGCAACCAGCTATGACTGCGGTAGCACACCAGTATTAACTAACTGAAAGTGAGGATACACTCTTCCCATTTAGAAGCCAGCATACGGATGCACAGGGAGACTGTGTCAAAGCAGTGGAGCAGCTAGGATCTGACACTCTTGCCTCTCGCCTCTGCTCGTGATCATGCTATCTCACCTCTCTGCTAAGCCGCACTTCAGCATTTATGGTAAGCTCACTTTCTTATTTGGAACATGTACTCAGTTGTACCTACCTTTTCATTTTGAAACACTTTTGCCCCCTCAATGTCTGGGAACAAACACATTTGTTTTACCTTTTTTGGTGAAAAATTCCTTGGAATATTTTCCTGCCACAATGAGCTTGCGAGGCACCTTCCCCAGAAGTTCTATGATCAATGCAATGTGATCTGTATATTTCAGACATTTCAAGAGGGGGAAAAAAGACACATGTAACAAGAATAACAAATGGAGCTCTAAACATTGGTAGAAAGAATAGCATATACACCTCTTTGTAATGCATTCCAACCTTGCTTTCTGTCTTCAATGGGAAGAAGTGGGCTGTACCCATCTAATACCGATTCCAAAAACAATCGTAAAAAATTTAGAGAACCACTCCATTAGGACTTGAGTGATTACTAAAAACAATCTTGGTGTGAATGCTCAGTTTTCCTGAAGCTGTATCCCTGGAGTCTAGATGGAAACTCATGCTAGTAATTCTATCTCTGTGACTGGTCAAGTCCTATGAATATTTCCCAGTGAGGGCAAAGTGTCTTGGAATTCTGCCTATCAGCTCTACAATGTGCACAGTGTGGTCTAAAATAGGATAAGAAGAACAAGATCAAGGACAAGGTGCAAAAGAGGTTTAACTATGAACAGCTTTTCCAAGGACCAGCTGTTTAAAAGTAACTCAAATAAAACCAAGGATACTCAAAGGGAGCATGGGAAAGGTAGGAATTATTTCAGGTGGCTGGTCACCTGATCAGAGCTGGCAGATCTCATTCTGGATTTGAGGTCTATGTACAACTTTGCTTTTATTTTGTTTATATATCTAGGTTCAGGTGAGGTTTTTAGGAAAGGTTGAAAAATAGAAACAAGAGTGCCAAAATACTTTAAGGAGTTCTAGAAATGTTATTATTATTTTTTTTGGTACCGGGGATTGAACTCAGGACCTTGCACTTGCGAGGCAGGTGGCAGAACCACTGAGCTAAATCCCTGGCCCCTAGAAATGTTATTAATTTATAATACTGTTCTGGGCTTCAAGGAGTAAAACATCACCATATATATAAATGCTCGTGACAAATTCATAGTTTGATGCAGTTAGCTCACATATGAGTTTTTACAATCAACCTGTAAACAGGCCAAAGATTAATACCTTATTTTAAAGATGAGACAAATGCAACTTCAGAAAAACTAAATGGCCTACTTGAAACTTCAGGGTTAAATGTTGGAACTCAAATGAAAATGCACATCTTACCATGTCTAGCCCAGAGCTCCTCCCACCTGTCATACTTTTTTTTGGTACCGGGGATAGAACTCAGGACCTTGCGCTTGAGAGGCAGGTGATGGAACCACTGAGCTAAATCCCCGGGGCATCTATCATACTTTTAACTAGTTGGAAGTTAGTACAAATGGATTGTAGGCCACTAACATTTCCAAGTCCCAGTGAGCTATATGACTGCCAAAGCATGACTATGGACTGTGAGCACTGCCAGGGAGGTGGGCAGACTTACCCAGGGCGAGCCTGGTAGCAGCCAGTACTCAAACCTCCAGGGAGCTCTACTGCCCTTTCTATAATTCAGGTGACAGAAATTAAGCACATGACGATGTTTTGAAAAATGATGCCTCACAGTCAGACAAAAAGCTTTTATAAATTCCTTTAATCCTGTAGTTATAAAATCATTAAGGGTTAGAAGAAGTCATTAAAAAACTTCCAACAATGTATCTTCCAGGGCAAATACCATGGCTAGAGGCATCCATATCATCTGGGAATCTGTAGGTATTAACTTGCTCGCTCGCTTTTTCTCTTTCAAAGCATTTAGTGGTGTTATTTTTAAAAAGCCTGATAAATTCACTACAACTTTTGAGCATTACTGATTGATTTTATGTTTGGTAACAAGTACCTAGCTGCCAAGAAACTTCTGATTTTACGTAAGGCCTGAAAATAAACGTCTTTGTATGAATAACCATTAACAACAACCAAGATGAGCATACCACAGACTAAATAAGACTATAGTTTCTTTTACTGTAAACTTCCACATGAAGTAATGATTCTTTTAAATTTTTTCCTATACCAAGGAATTATTTTCTCCTGCTCTCCTGGGCTAATTTGAAGGAAAATATTACAAAGGGGTTGAGGTTTGATCTAATGACTACTAGTACCGATTAATGAAGGAAGAAAATATTAGGATCTAAATATCTAGGGAAGGGGTTTTCTCTTACTTGGGATTTTATTTATTTATTTTTGGTACCGGGGATCAAACTTGGGACCTTGTGCTTGCGAGGCAGGCGGCGGAACCACTGAGCTAAATCCCAGCCCAGGATTTTTTATACATAATTTAATTTTCAGTTTGGCAGTTTTGGACTGGTCCTATTCAGTGGAATTCTAGCCACTATGTGTGTTCTATGACACACATTAATATTTATAGTCTACGCAAGTAAGAGAAATGAACTACTCCTCCCAAACAGATATGTTAGGGCATTTAAAAAACACTATAAAATTGTAACTCCAAACTTATAACCCACAAAAAATTCGAGCAGAGAAAAGGGGGGAAAAAACCCCCACCAGGTATGTAAATGGTTAACAATTGCAGTATCCTCTAACAAGGGGCATGCATAACTATCACACACAGATATGAACATGTTCAAACCACACCTGCCAAAGTAGACACTTAGCTATGGGAATTAGCTCAACATTTTCAAACAGTGTTTGTCAGGCACACTAGCAGGCTGTCCTAACAGTGTCTACTACTACTATTTGAGGAGCACACTCTGAGTAGCAGAGTGTGCCTGGAACACGAAGCCTGGGGCACAGCACAGGAAGGACATGTTTTCACACTGGCCTGTGCCGGGCCTGCTCCTGCAGGGCAACCCTCCTTACTCTCGCAAAGAGGGTGGAAAAGAAGGTCAAACACTTCTCTATCAGTATTGTTTTCATTCAAATGAACTCATCTAGTTATGTGGACCCCGTGACGGGAAATGAGGCCCAGCTGTCTGCTTCCATGGCCTCTCAGATGGAGCAACCAACAGTGTGGCTTTCCTACAAGGCACCACAAATTTACACCCATTACATTTTGTTTTAAAATGGAGTTCTAGGGCTGGGGATTTAGCTCAGTGGTTCCGCAGCCTGCCTTGCAAGCGCAAGGACCCGAGTTTGATCCCAGGTACCAAAAATAAATAAATAAATAAAAAATAAAATGGAGTTCTAATTGTCATTAACATCTAAAAAGAAAAAAGAAGATAGCTTTAATTTCAGAAAAGGGGAAAAACAGTGTTACAGGATTTAAGAGAACATAGCCTCTGCATTCAGGTAGTGTTCACAGATTATAATTACTGATTTCCAAATAAAGTTGAAGGCAAAAATGAGCAACAAGTTGATGACCAGGTAAATTCAAACTGGGTAGACTGAGTCATCGACTTATAAAGGAAGATAACTAGATAGTGAAGAAAAACATTAACTGACAAGAAGTTTCAGTTTAACCAATTCATGACTTTTGTCTAACCCCGTAGTAGAGCTCTTCAGTATCTTTTAAGATACCCAGTTTAGCTGGTACTCAATATAAAATATCTTTCATGTTTCTGTTGTTTTTGGGGGGCTTATAGATACTTAGCACACTACTAAGATTACTAAGGCTCTTCACTGTGAACAAATGATGTTACCCACGTGTGGCAAGTGAAGCTACCATGCACAGACATCTTAAGGGGACTCACCTTCATCACGGGAGTACTCTTCTCCCGAATGAGGCTCAAATAAATAATCACCTGTGGCCAGTTCAAAGGCCTACAAAAAAGAAAAAATATGAAAGCATCAAAGAAAAAGAACACCTTCAGAAATCTGACTCAATATTAAATTTTTTTCTTGAAAGAACCTGCAGATGACCATTTAAAAAAAATGTTTAAGATTAAAAGGATTCCCTTCACATCTGTATTTTAATAAAATGGGATTTAAAAAAAACCCAAAACAGGAAAAAAACTTCATTTTACACCAATGTTTGCATTAGTCCATGGGGAATGAACAAAGGACAACAATAAAATAGAAACACACAAACAAGCACAAACAGAACAGCCCAGCAGAGCGGGAGGAGACTAGACAATGGGCACAAAGGCAGTCATACAACAAAGATCTAGTGCTCTACGGCCCAGTAGTGAATATAGTGACAAATAATATTTTGTGTATTTCAAAAGAGCTAGAAGAGGCAATTTTGACTGTTTTTCCCACAAAGAAATGTCTGAGGTGATAGACATCCACGCTAACAACTCAAATTTGATCATTATGTTTACTGAAAAACCACACTGCAATCCCTAAAGGTGTTCAGTTATTACACATCAGTTAGAAAAAACAAGCCCAGAAACAAAACCCCCACAGCAATTCAGCCCTCTTTAGTTTTCCTTTGTAGTCAGAAAAGGACACAATGAGAGGTTGAAGGGAGGGCAAGGGAGTGGGGAAAAAAATGAGAACCAAAATATATTATGTGAAGGCACAAATTTCCAATGATGAATGTCATTATATTGTATACCTAAAATGTACCAATAAAATTAATAGTAAAAAAAGGACACAACTGAAAATTAAAGTGATTCTGGATTTACTATTATTCATGAGAAGAGCAGGTCTTTCTTGCGTTCTAACTTTACATGACTAAAAAACGAAATTCTGTACTCCAAATCAAAACCAAACACTCAGACATCTTCTTATATGACTCTTTAGTATTTGACAGTAAGTACAGCCTTAAACTCCTGTACGGAAAACAATCCCTAAACTGTGCCGGACTGAGTTCCAAGCCACTCCATCCAATGTGACCAGCAGGTCATCAGCCAGGAGAAGACCCACATTTCCTATGACACAAAACCTCTTACACATGACAATCAGCCTTCCAAGGGGTTTAGGTAATTTCTTTTGGAGTGCCAAGAGGTAAGGAAAGGGCAGTATCTGAATAATAAGGCCAACAGGAATTTCTCATTGATTATAAATGGACTTTCAAAGAACAAACAAAAAAATACAATAGCAGTTTAAAAAAATGGAGCATACCTGTAATCCTAGCACTCTGGAAGGCTGAGACAGGAGGATCAGAAGTTTAAGCTCAGCCTGGACAATTTAAAATGAAAAAGTAAAAAGGGGGTCGGGGGGATACAGCTCAGTGTAAAGGCCCTGGGTTCAATCTCCAGTACTGGTATTCCAACAAAAGACAAAGACAAAACCAAACCAAAAACCAACCAAACAAAAACAGGTCTTATTAATATGAAAGTGCAGTTACAGCCAAGAACTAGTCATAGGTCAATTTTGATTCAGCAGATGGTGTTAAGTAATCCCAATCATTTCAAGAACTGTGGGTGCATTTGAGACAAGATAACCTTTCTCAAAACCATACTGTCTGTACTTCTACCCAGAGTAAGGCCACACAACTGGAAGTTCCAGGAACCAAACATTTGTCACTAAAATGTCAGGGATGCTATGGCTTCTTCTTCCTTTTTTTTTTTGGTACTGGGGATCGAACTCAGGTCCTTGTGCTTGGGAGGCAGGCAGCAGAAGCACTGAGCTAAATCCCCAGCCTATGGCTTCCTGTTCAGCATAGCTGGTTTCACATTCCATCAGCTTATTGTGAAGCTGAAGCACACCAAAAGAGAAGACACCTTTTCTAACTGAAATATGTTGAAGGTTAAAGTCCCAACAGGCACAGAAACAAACTGTTTCTAATTCAAAACAAAACTTCTCTTGAAATCAGTACTTTTTCAAAATCTCTTATAAATGGAGTTCAGTAATGATAATCAAAGTTACAAGATCCTGTCTCAATTCCCCCTCTCAAAAGAAAGATCATAGTGACTACTATGAACAAATATATACCAACAAACTGGATAACCTAGAAGTGGATAAATTCCCAGCTACAATCAGTCTACTAAGACTGAGTTATGATGCAACAGAAAACCTGAACAGACCAATGACAAGTAAGGACATTGAGTCAGTAAAGTCTCCTATCAAAGCAAAGCCCAGGATCTGATGGCTTTACTGCTAAATTCTACTAGATATTTAAAGAACTGATACGGTCCTCAAACTCATCCAAAAAATTAGAAGAGTATTTCCAAAACTGTGAGGGCAGCACTGTCTTACTATCAAAGCTAAAAAAGAAACATTACAAGAGAAAATTATGGCCCAATATTCTGGATGAACATATACACAAAAATCCCCAACACACTACCAGGTGGCTTAGGGATGTGCCTCAGTGGTAAAGTGCTTGTCTAGCATGTGTGAGGTGCTGGGTTCAATCCTTAGCACCACTAATAAAACAAAATGTAAAACACTACCCAAATGGAATTCCACAGCACATTAAAAAGATCACCACTGTGATAAAGTGGAGGGTCCTTCTCAAGAGGTTATGGTGAGCCCAGAACTGCACAAGTCAAAGGGAAGAGCACAGCCAAATTCACAAGATGAGAATGAGTGACACGACTAGGAAAAGAATGATTCTGAGTGGAACAGATGCAATTAAAGGACTTAACAGAGGGGAGTAATATAATGTGACTAAGATCACGCAGGCTGTCATGTGAGAAAAGTGAAACAGAAAGAAATTAGGAGGCCACCGTAGTGATCTATGTACTTAACAATGATGCCTTGGGGTGTAACAGGTTAATGGAAAAGGAAAGAAATGTTTGATACCGGATATATTCTGAAGACAGAAAACCGAACTTGCTGCTAGGTGTAGAGAGTGAGAAGGAAAAAGAATTACTATCTTAGTCAGGGATCTGAGGCACCCTAGTTGGTGTCAACTCAAAAGCCCCCTTCCCAATTGTGTGCTATTCACCGGGATTACAATGAAGGTCCCAAGCCAACAGACTCATCCTTGGGGAACCAAATTCACTTCTTGCAGTTCTTCCTGCTTTCTTCTCTGTCCTCTGATTCTGAGAACAGTGCATTTTATCAGTGTCATCCTTAAGTGCAGCAAATGCCTGGTTCTTCCCCTCTGCCAACAACAGCTGGAAATCTAGATTCTTCTGCACGTACCAACTGCTAAAATCTATTCTCTAGCATAGATCCTAGTCATTTTATTATAGAGAATACCTGTGAAAGAGACAAGCTTGCTTATTTTTTAGGTTGTATTATCTCTGTGTAGCAGAAAACTGTGGTGTGGCAGCTGCAGCAACAAATGTAAATCTACAGGTTTTGCTGCATAGGATAAGAAACTTATATAAAACTCAAAATATTCATGATTAAAATGGTATTCTATTTAGATTTGTGACTTCTTGCTCTAGAAAAGGGGTGAAATCTAAACAGCTACTGTTGGGGCTGGGGATTTAGCTTAGTGGTTTTGCTGCCTGCCTTGCAAGCACAAGGACCCAAGTTCAATCCCCGGTACCAAAAACAACAAAAAAACCCCCCAGCTACTGTTCAATACAGACATTTCTGCCTTTCTTTCAGGCAGCTCTAATTAGGGACCAGCGAGGGTGGGGAAAACTCTATGGGTCAAATTTTGATAATTTGCAGCCTTTTAGCATCCTTACAGGTTCTAGACAGATAAAATAGGATAATCCCCTTTCTCCCATTTCCTGAAGAGTCATTCCATTGCTCCAGATACCTGAGTAAAAACTGAATTTTACCACTAGTTTTTTCTCCTAACATACTACTAATTTGCCACACAGCAACTTATGGAGCATAAAAAGACATGTAATTTGCTCTATCTTCTAAATATGTATAGCTACATTCACAGAATTTCCCACAAATCCTGTCCTGAATTTGAGATTAATAAAAAAGGAAAGGAAAAGCTTCCAGACTGTAATCACTTCAAGAAAGGAATTGCAGGAAAAGGTAAATAACTTGGGACAGCACACTCATTTCCCCATAGCAGGAGGGAAAAGGATATTCAAAGGTTAGAAGAAGATAACCCCATCCCGTCAGTTATGGTGCTCTATACCCTGCCCCAATGTTTGGAGATGTTTAATTCTTAATGTTTTTCACAGACAGCTTCTCCTATTCCTATTTTTTTTTGGTACCGGGGATCAAACTCGGGTCCTTGCGCTTGCGCAGCAGGCGGTGAAACCACTGAGCTAAATCCCCGGCCCTCTCCTATTCCTTTTTACAACGGCCCTCCTAACTAGGTCTCAATTGCTAACATGGTAGGTAACCTTTCAACTTGTCTCTTTACCTCTTAGCAATCTTTCTAAAAGTTAATTGCACTGGATGCAGGATGATCCATTTTTCTAGGCAATTCTGATGGGTCAGGATTTATTTCTACTTGGAGTATGACCAAAACTAAAGCAGCATTTCCCATGTTTATTGGCAGAAAATTAAGAAACAAATAGGGCTCAAGTTTTCATGATATCCTCTCATGTCAGGTAAGAGGTTTCTACCCCTTTCTTAAGAAAATTCCAACTGGGCCAGGGTTTTAGCTCAGTGGTTCCGCTGCCTGCCTTGCAAGCCAAGGAGCCAAGTTCGATCCCTGGTACCAAAAAGAAAAAAAAAAACTAGGGAAGAAAATTCCAACATGTGAGTGCTAGGTCCAGAGCTATGGATCAAGGCTATTTCCTCTTTTATTATTTTGCCTTCTTATGCCTGATACTGAAAACAATAAGCAGGACCTGCCACTGTCAAACAAAACAGGAATGTGGAATATAAAAAAGGAAACCATAGTCTTCATCTTCTTGTAGCAAGTAACCCATTACTGGGCCGGAGATTTAGCTCAGTGGCTCTGCAGCGTGCCTTGCGAGCTCAAGGAGCCGAGTTCGATCCCCAGTACCAAATAAAAAAAAAAGACAAAAAACCCCCATTACTAAGAACCATATTGTAATAAATCCTCCTCTTTGTTCATTTTTGTAATACTAGGGGTTTGAATTCAGGGCCTTTGCACTGAGCTATACCCTCAGCCCTTTTTTATTTTTTAGTTGTGAGACTGGGTCTTGAAAGTCACCCAGGCTGGGCTCACTTGTGATGCTCCCACCTCAGCCTCTCAGAGTGCTAATTAGCCCTGCTAATATGTCTTCCTTATATATCAGATATCATCTGTGATATGTATTATTTTGTAGATGGTGGCATCTCCTCACTTATGATTTTCTCTAGATCAATTCAAATCAAATCCCTAAAAACAAAAAGCTTTAAAGTGGCTGGAGATTTAGCTCAGTGGTTCTGGTGCCTGCCTTGCAAGCGCAAGGTCCCGAGTTCAATCCCCGGTACCAGGGGAAAAAAAAAAAAAAAAAAGCTTTAAAGTGTAGTGAGAAAGAAACTTGAGATTTTATTCCAATATTCTTTTATCTTGTGCTTATTTACCCAAACAGTCCTAACTTCAGACAGATCTCTATCTTTAGAGCTCTATTCCACGACAAAGCGCTTTATATGTTCACACCACATCGTGGTCTTAACTACATCTGAAGACAAGGTTTTCAGGAGTAAAAGGAATCTATGACCTAAAACAGTTTGGAGATGTGCTCGCTTCCGCAGCACACAAACAGTTCCTCTTTCTCAAGTTTTCCCCAGAATTCTAAATATATATATTTTTGATAGTAGGTATTTATTGTGTCAGGACATCAAGAGAAAAGAGCAGAAGGCATTGTGTAAGGCTGTTTTAAAGGTGAGAACTAAGTGACCTCTTTACACGAGGAGTTAGTCGCTTAAGCAGTGAGCTGCCTGCCACACCCCCACATTCTCCTCTGCTCTTGAGTAGACAATCATTGAATGAATGAATAAAAGCTAGCGCAATCTCAGCAGGTCAAGCCTTCTAGTACTTCTCTGCACACCTGCAGTCCCAGCACTAGGGAGGCTGAAGCAGGAGGATCACAAGTTCGATTTCAGCCCAGGCAATTGAGTGATTTAGTGAGACCTTGTTTTGGAATAAAATATTAAAAAGGAGGCTGAGGCTATAGCTCAGTGTGAGCTATATTCCCAGTACTTTAAAAAAAGAAAAAAAATCTGAGGATGAAAGAGCTTTACAAACACTAGAGGACCCGACTCCTCTGAAGCTGCAAACAGCAGAAAGAAGCCTCTACTGGCAGGGCTGGCAGAGCGCTCTAGGGAGAAGGCAGGGCTGGAAGGAAGCAGGGCCTGCAGCTTAGTTACTCGAGGCATCATTCTCCCTCTCCAAAGGGTGGTGGCTGGTTAATGAGTCAGTGTGGGTGAGCCCAAGGCTTCCCCTAATAGATTCTACCTGCTCAGACTCGGTTACGAAGGTCTTCCGCTTGCATCTGCCTCTTCAGCACCCTGGTTAGGCCTGGGCATCCCTGCGGGAACCCAGGCTGCACACCAGCCATGGGCCCGCGCCCCTTACCTGGCTGCGCTCCCCCGGGTTGCACCTTGCTGCGGGCTCACGCCAGCCCAGAATACTAAATATTAACTGAGGTAGCATGCTTCTGTTAATTCATTTGACCACTCACTAATATTTATTTAAGTACTGGTATATAAAAACATTGTCTGGTCTTTATCCCTGTTTCCTGGGGAGAGAGCCTTTAGACCCATGGATTTCCAAGTGTTCGGAGTGTTTTAGTTATTTACAGTGGACCTCTTGGACCTTACCTACATTTACTCTAACAAGTCACCTCAGGGCAGGACCCCTAGATAAATGGCGACAAGACCAAGTATGTGATTAGAAGGTTGGGTCTTTCTGGCCTCCTAATCTCCAGGGAAAGGAATGAGGCTGGACACTGGACACAGCCACACGGTCAGTAAGTCAATCATGTCTAATTATGAAATCTCAATAGCACTGAACATTTGAAGCTTGGGTGAACTTCTTTGGTGACACATAGCAACACACCAGGAAGCTTCCCATCTGGTACCCTCTCAGATCTTACCCTACTCCATGTGTCTCATCTTGTTTTGTAGCTTTTAGAATAAAACTGTTAAGTCTAGCACTTTTTCAGAGGGTAGTGGGAACTCTAAATTTACAGCCAGCTGGTCAGAAGTGCAGCGGCTTGTGGACGCTGGAACTGGAGGCCAGACTTATAGGAAACTATGCCCTTAACCAATGAGCTCTGCAAGACCTCTGGGTAGTTGGCATTAGAAATGTGCTGCAAGTACCTACTCAAAACATGCCAGCCAAACACAGAAAACAGATTCCTGCCAGCATAGGGCTACAACCTTGTGGGAGAGAAACAAGTAAACACACAGAGAGACTGATAAAGGAGGAGAGATCATGAGGAGTATATTTCATTTCAGGAAACGATACACCACATTCCAAAGTAAGGCTACTTGTGGGAAATCATTTAGCATCAACTCAATCTGGCTACTTGAGTAGCTATTTGCTAGGGACAAAGAAGCAATTTATGAATCCATGAATGATTGTGTTTCACACTTTGCGAGTTGAAAAGGCAAAAGTATCTGTGGAGATGCTCAATTCTGCAAATAGATCAATCCTAAAGGGTGCAGACACTTTAATTTCCCAATCCAAACCAATCATGCCTTACTTATAGCAACTGTTTTCAATTCAGACTTCTCCAGACACAGGATTTATAGCTTCCATGATAAGTCACTGATCAGTTCTTTTTCTTTTTTTAATATGCTGGTCTACTGAAATTAGCAAACAGGCAAGGTCTGACACTGCCACCTAACAAGCGAAGGCCAAGGGAGAATAAAACCTTACCATGCATGCTGTGCTCCAGATGTCAGCCGGGGTATTATAGCCAGATCCTATCAGAACTTCCAGGGAGCGATACTGCCTTGTTTGAATATCTTCAGTGAAATGTTTGTGCTGAGTAAATAGAAAAAGGAACAACATTTAGAAATTCATATTCTAAGAAGTAACAAGTCAGGACTGCTTAATAATGGAGAGTAAAATAAATTATCTAATGTTTTCCCCAAAACAAAGGTTCCATTCAGCCAATTTCTCAAATATCATTGATGTTAGCCCTGAACAATCTTTTGCCATACTCATTACCACTCTACATTATCTTTGCAAACACACGAGGGTAAATTTTAATAGTCATATATAGATTTATTTTGTTTGATACACAGATTTAGTGAGCAATAATAGCTTCACAGAAAATAAAAATGATGTTTTGTTCATTTGCCTAAAATTAATAAATTGTTCCTCAACAATTAAATGTGAACCTTAGAAAAACAGAGAACATATTAAGCTGTTGGAGTTTCATGAATAAATAAAATGTAGAAAAGAAGGGAGAAACTTCTAAAGTGATAGTAATTCAAACCTGGGGATGGAGACCCACACCTCTAATCTTAGCAGTTGGGAGGCTGAGACAGGAAGATTGTTGGAAGTTCAAAGCCAGCCTGGACTACATAGTGAGACCCTGTCTCAAAAAACCAAAAATAAACAACAGAAACAGTAATTTAAGAGTCAGAGTACATAGTTTTGCATTCATGGATTTTTTTTGGATCCTGTTTCAAACATAGAAAATTAAAAAGAATTCATATGAAGTAACTGTGGAAAATCGTCCTCTTTTTTCCAGGTGTGACCATGGTGTTACAGTTACCAAAAAGTATAATTTTTCAAAAAGTTGTATTTATGTATGAAATAAGATGGCTGGGATATACTTCCAAACAATCTGAGGTACATGGTAAGGTTAAAATACAGATGAAAATCCCAGCACTCAGAAGGGCAAGGTGCAGGTTTGTCAAAGAGTTCGAGGTCAGCCTAGGCTACATAGTGAGTTCAAAGCCAGCCTGAACTACAAAGCAAAACCCTGTTTCAAGAAACAGAGCAAAAAAACAAAACACAAAGAGATACAGATGAAAATAGATTGGCAATGAGTTGACAACTGCTAGGTGACACCAGTATAAAGGCATGGGAGTTCATTATTATTCTATTCTTTCTCTTTTGGATATGTTTGAAATTTTCCACAACAAGCAAATATATGAATAATAAAAAAAGAAGCTTAATATGAATTTTACTCAGGAAATAAATTCAAATGCTATTAAAATCTGTATAGGAAAGTCATGATGACAATCTCTAATCCTGCTGAAAATCAAAAAAACAAGGAACTGCACTGTGGAGAGGGGAAATTGGGAAGGGAAAGCTTCGGGTAGAAAATCAGTATCAATCAGAGCTGCAAAGGATACCTGACTAAGTATCATTAAAATAGCAACAAGTACTAGGGCAGTTTAGATTTCACCTAGCAGACATGAGAGAGTATTATTGTACTTTTGTGAACAGGAGAACACACTGTCAATCATAGTGGCATGATAACTGAGAACGTCATTTCAGTAATCTTATGTCTGGTGGCCAGATTTTAAAGATGGTATTAGAAATCTGACTAATGGGCTAGGAATTTAGCTCAGTGGTTCCAGTGCCTGCCTTGCAAGCACAAGGTCCTGAGTTCAATCCCCAGTACAAAAACAAAACAAAACAAAATCTGAACAATGCCTGTTGAAATAATGGAGGGAAGAGTTAAATCCAAAGACACTTAAGAATAAGCAGAATTCAAAAATTCAGGGCCAGGGATGTAGTTCAGTGGCGCTGTGCCTGCTTGGCAAGCTTAAGATCCTGAGTTTGATTCCTGGTACCACACGTAAAAAAAGGAAAATCAGTGGTTACATTTGGGAGACTACAGAAAAAGCTTAAAGAACACTGACCCAGAGGCCTAGAGCTGGCTGTCTCCTGAAAAAAAACAGAGATAGGAAACTCAGAGAGGAAAATAATTTTTATAAGAAAACAGTGGGGTCAGCTAATGAATCTGAAGTAACTTAATTCTGACAAAAACAGAGAAGAGCAAAATGAAAGCAATAAAATTTAGAAGTTAGAAAACAGGGATCATTGGTCAATGTCTTTTTGGATCCCAAAAAGCCACAATTGACAAAAGCTGAGAAGCAATGTGATTTACACCACAGTGTTCCTCCCCATAGTGCTCAGGATGAGGGGTATCTGCTTGTTTCTGGAGGTGGGGTGACGGTGGGATCCAACCCAGGCAGGAAAAATGGTCTAAAACATCTTTTTAAGAAGCAGAGCTCCAGGAAAAAGAATACGTGATATTGTCTAATATCCCCAATGGACCACTTGGATTGCCCTCTGGAGTGGACAAAATAAGGGTTTCTGGAGGAGACTTACACTCAAAGGGAGAGTACTACTTTGAAAACTAGGAAATTAAGTGACCTTACTACCTATGTCGAAACATCTTTTTACTTCACTCAGCTGCTAGAACACTAACAGCCAGGCAATTGCTCTCTGGGTAGGAGATATGCAGATTGTAAGTCTTTTTGGGGGAATATGACCTACCCAAGAGGAAAGATCCAAAGATAATGACATGTGAGGATGAAATCAAACATCTCAAACACATCTATCTCTCTTTCTCTCTTTTTTTGACAGGGTCTTGCTATGTAGCCCAGGCTGGCCTCGAACTTCCAGCGATCCTCCTGCCTCAGCTTCCCAAATGCTGGGAGTACAGGCCTGGGCCAGCAAGCCCAGCTCCAAATATGTCTTTCTACAGTGAGTAACAAGGCCCACGTCATTCATTCAGTCAGATAGTCTTCTGTTTAGTGATCCTAAACAGAAAGAAAGCAACAGCTATACATATAAAGAAAATCTCAAGAAAGGAAAAATACCCTCCGAAAGATTAAAAAGAGGGACAGGGATGCAGCTCAGTGGAGTAGCACCTGCCTTGTGAGGGCCCGAGTTTGATTTCTGGTACAAAATTTTTTTTTTAAATGTTAAGTTTTTAAGAAATAAAAAACCCATGGGCCGGGCATTTAGCTCAGTGGCTTCACCACCTGCTGCGCAAGTGCCAGGACCCGAGTTCGAACCCCAGTACCAAAAAAAAAAAAGAAATAAAAAACCCAAAAAACTTTAGAAAGTAAAAATATAATAGGAGAAATGAGAAACAATGAGTATTATAAGAAAAAGTTGAGAAATCTCTCCATAAAATACAGCAAAAAGCAAATGATCAAAAATGGAGAGAGAGGGGCTGGGGATTTAGCTCAGTGGTTTCGCTGCCTTCCTCACGAGCACAAGGACCCAAGTTCGATCCCCGGTACCAAAAAAAAAAAAAAAAATGGAAAGAAAGGTAAAAGGAAAAGACCTATACGGAAGGGTTGACATCCGAGTAACAGAATTTCACAAGTACCAGGCAGAGAACAAGAAGAAGAGAACTTTAAAAATTAAAGACTCCAAACCAAAGAATCATAGTTTCAGTATTTAAAAGGCACCTCAGCTCTTTAGCACAAGGGTGCAAACAGACCTCATGGGGCACATAACTGTGAGGGGGATCCTACAGATGCCTGCAGGAGGGAAAGGGCTCACAAAACACAAGAATCAACAGTCTGGAGTTGCAGCTCTAGCATGTCTGAGTTCTTGGGTTTTGATCTCTAGCATTGGAGGAAAAAGATGGATTTATTTCACCGAGTCAAAGTAAGGGACTAAATTAAGTGAAAAATATTATAAAGAAAACTAAGCAAACCAGACAATGTTATACAGAAAGGAAATCACAATATATATTCAGTTCAGCTGAGGACAGCATTAGAATCCTGATAATATGAACATGAAATGACTATCTAGCCAAAAATTATGACATTTAGAATATGGGTGACCAGTGCAGTGGAGGCAGGTAGGGCCTATTTTCCAGGAAGAAATTGGTAAAATTGAAAAAAAAAAATTAGGAAGTCTAGAGCATGTCCTTACAAAGTGTGATTTCCCACCAAGTGCCATCCAATACAAAGGCAGGCTCATAAAAACACTACAGTGTGTCCTCATCCACCTTATTTACTGGGATCTGGCACTGTGTGACTTCTGGCTTTTCCTCAAAGTCAAAATGACCGCGAAAGGTAAACACTTAAGATCAAATCAGAACATCGAGGCAGCCCTGACAGTGCACCTAAAGACATTCATCAAAAGGGCAATGGATAAGCATGTTCCAAGTAAGTACTTTCAGGGGTATTAATGGCAATGTATCTTTTGTTGTAATAATAATAAAAAAAGGTAAATATTCACTTTCTTTTTTTGTTTTGGTACCGGGGATCGAACTCGGGTCCTTGCACTTGGGCAGCAGGCGGCGAAACTACTGAGCTAAATCCCTGGCCCTATTTGCTGTTTATGTTTTGATCACACCTAGTATTACTGATGACAGTAAATCCTGTCATAGGGAGTGAAAAACTGGCAAAGGGGGTGGCAAGTTTTTAAGTGAAAATCTGTGCAACTATCTCTGAACTACTTACATGTATAACTGATAGCAGAAGAAAAACTACAGAAAAAAATTAAGCTCCTTGAAAATCACGCAGAAGTCCACTACTGAATGCCAAATGCTGAAAAGACCACTGGAAAGTGAGCTAAAACTAGGACTAGTACTCCGCAAGTGGAGACATTCACGTCGGGCTCTTGGCTGGCCCTGGTACCCAGGTCATGCATATGTACCAGTGTGTCCGCTGGATAAGCGAGTGGGTAAAAAGAATATAAAGTCATCTCAACAGAGAGAGGGACATGCATGTAATAACTGAAGAGAGATTATGTCTGCTGTAGTAAAAGGGACGGGAAAGATTTTACCAGAATAAAGTATGCCACAGGGTGACAGGCAAGAGTCCGCAGAGCATCTGATGTGCACTTAGTGTGACATTCGTTACAGAGCTAGTGTTTCTCCACAACTCATTTGCTTAGATATTTACAGAGTAGCTGCTACGGGGCCAGGGATTTAGCTCAGTGGTTTGGCCACCTGCTGTGCAAGCGCAAGGACCCGAGTTCAATCCCCGGTACCAAAAAAAAAAAACAACAACAACAAAAACAGAGTACCTGCTACATATGAGGCTTTGCTCTAAGTACTACGCATAATGGAAGTGAACAAAAATACGTACATTGCATGTGCGTCCCTGAGGGAGGGATATGAAGCAGCATCAGACTGTGGTGTTCAACTGCACTGGGCTTTCAGGAGCGATTTCCCTATGATGGAACTCAACACAAGAGAGCAAGCGGGACACAGCATTTTGGGAAGAAGACCCCAGGCAGAGGGGACACAAAGTGCTCTTCCCTCGGTGGTGTGTGGGCAGCACTCTGGCCATCACTTTGAGGGGTCATTACAAGGGTTAGAAATATCTGACTTATTCTCTATAGACAGTCCCCAGGGTAGTACAGAAGGGCCATCCAGGGAGACCACACAGTGGCTAGGCCCGGACGCTAGTGGAGAGGATCAACACTCATCACCTGGAAAGCTGCTCCACATTCCTCGAATGTTAATTTCTCCTAAAAGCTTCTCATAATATTCCACAGTAAAGAGTGAGGTATGGTGTAATCCCAGCACTCAGGAGGCTGAGGCCAGAGGGTCACTGCCAGTTTGAGGCCAGCCTGAATTACATAGTGAGACCATCTCAGGAAAAAAAAAAAAGAAAAGAAAGAAAGAAAAAGAAAAAGAAAAGAAAGAGCAAGAGCAAGATCCACAATAAATACTGGAAATGAGTTCCTATAGGGGTTTGGACCATTTCCAATTTACAGAGCTCTCTCAGTAGTCATTTATATGCAAATCATTCTATTGTAAATTTAAAAAAACCAACTCCCAAAACTTTCCTAATTAATAAAAACCAAAACTATTAATACAACAATTTGCCAATTAAAATGAAGACTGCATCATTTAGCCTAAAGACTGGAGAGGAAAAATACTTTTCGGAGTTGCTAAAGGTAGAAAAACTAATGTACTCTTTTTGAGAGAATGTGATATTAAACACAAAAAAATGTAGCACGTAATTGTTTGTAATTAGATGTAATTATACACAGTTAAAAATAAGCAAGTCAGGCGCTGTGCATTCCTATAATCCCAGCCACTCAGCAGGCAGGCTGAGGTGGGAAGATCTTGGGTTTGAGGCAGGCCTGGGAAACGCAGAAAGACATGTCTCAAAGAGAAAAAAATACAGTATTATATATCAAAAAGCTTAAAAAAATATATCACTCAATAATTCTACATCTAGGACACATCCTGAGGACAACTACACAGAGATTCCCAAGCAAAGAGTCTCATCACAAAGAGCTACTGTGTATGAGATTATAAATATGTGTAACTATGTCTACACTATAAATAACCAACTGAATTTTACATAAATTCTTGGTGACAAAGTGTCTAGAACGTTACCATTTTTAGGTTTGATGCCAGTTTTGGAAATGGGAATGGGGTGGTGGAGGACATGAACATAGGCTGTAAGTATGAAAATGAATGAGGAGAGGGATAAAATAAGATTGGCCAAAAAATGGCACACTGAATTAGGATGATGGCTTACTGGTTATTTTGGGGTGCACTATTCTTCCTATTTTCACAAATATATTTCAACTTTTCCATAACAGAAGGTTAAAAGAGAGAAAAAATATTCATGAAAATGTTAAGTGATCCTATGCATAGAGAATTGCAGATGTTTTCTTTCGGCATAACCAAGTCCAAATCCTCACTCATGCACAGTCACTTCAAAACAGGCTGAGACAAGTTTAACTTACCACCCAACAGGCATTTCCAAGATCAGCAATCTTCACTTTGAGTTTTTCTGCATTTTTTGGCTCAAGGGGATTAACAAGAAAATTTCCAGCAGTGGATTTTCCTACAGACAACAGGTATCATCAATAAAATTGTTCAATAAATACAGAAATACCCAAAGGGTAATGAAGTCCTCCAAGAAAAGAGTTCTAGGAAGGCCCCCAGTCGGCAACATAAAACTTCTACGAACACAGCAGCGCCCTTTGTAGAATTTACAATGCCTGTGCTCACAGGACCCAGTGAGGTGTTGTGTACCCATCCCTAATGAACACAACCATAAGCCATCTACAGATCTGCACATGGAAGGCAGCTCGGACACCCGGTGTCAAGTGGTGTTTTAGTTTAGCAATGCATGAATGTGAGGGCTGGGGAAGCTATCGCAGGGGTACCTTTGTTGTCCAGTGGTCCATTCTGTCCCTCCTCTTGCTCCTCCTCACAAGGGATCTCTGCCCGAATGCTTTCTTGAAGTTGGCTGATGTCCTGTTCACTGAATGACTGGTCTCCAGCTGCAGAAGACTGGCACACCATGGTATCTGACACTCCAGAGGTCTCAGGTATACAAGAGTCTATTTCTTGAGATGTGCTGGTGTCTCCATTTTGGGAGCTTAGGAAACTAGGTTCCTGCTTCAAATTTTGGACATCACAGTCATTAGCATTATGGAGATCCTCATTAAGCCTCAATGTTTCTTTATTACTGTTCTCAGTATAATTACTGACTTCAATTACTCCATTGCAATTAATTTCTGTTGCACCACCCTCTACACCACGCTCCGTAAGTGTCTGATCCTGGTCAATGGAACTTGACTCTTCTAAGGAACAAACAAACAAAAAAAGATATGTGTGTGTATGTGTGAGTGAAAGAACAGGAAAATTCTCACTAAATTAAAACATTTTCTAGAGCTGATACTGAATGACATAAAAACATGACTAAACATCTAAAACCTATTTATGGAAGGACAAAGATCTTCTCATCCTTACCCAATGGCTAAATTAAGTCTATGTTCCATTTCCTGAGAAAAGTGAGAAATAACATTTGAATGTTTCCTGCCTAACATTACAACAAGATCTGACTTCTTATAAGGACAACCCCAGAGACGTGTTGTATGTATGAAACCACTATGTTATATTAACAACAATAAACTAATGTTAAAGTGTGCCATAAAGTGATTTTTGTGATGCTCTATTTATACCAAGTTTTTCTTGGGTCATTTTATTAGGTGGGTTCTCTTTCAAGGGTCTTTCAACAGGACTCTCTGATTCTTCTTGCTTGTTAGGTCTTTTTTGCCCAGGGCCCGACTCTTTCTCCATTTCCTCAATTTCCTGCATTCGCTTCTCTAGTAATTCTGCCTGGCGCTTCTGCTTCTTCTTCAATTTCTTCTTCTTATTCTTTGACATTTTGTCAGCCTGGGCGGAGATTACAAACAAATAAAGCCTTCAGGTGGCTAATCCATCACTCCTAGTTGGAGATAACTGTTAACTTTAATTATTTCCTAATTAAATTTCACTCCTTCCCTAAATATTTTTCATTACTTTAAAAGCTGCAGGTATTCTTATGAAACCAAATAAAAACAAAATTCACAATAAATGTTGATTTTCTGAGCAGTCTGTGTTGGGGGGGGTGTTACTCTCAGACACTCAAATTCATGGAAACCTCAACCAGTACAAACTTGCTGAAGATGCATGGGAATTTATTGGAGAAAATTATAGAAGCGCAGGAATATTTTTTCCCTTTGGTTTTCAAACTCTAAACAAATTGTGACCATAACAAGAACCCATGCTTATAACCCATTGATCAAAATTAAATATAGAAACACCTTATACTTACTGGTTTAGGTTGGGGAGCAGTACTGACTGAAAAGAAAAGAAGACCAAGTAAGAATCTAGCATCCAGCAGGCAATACAACCTAAGGCTTAGATAAGAGCTCTATCAGAATGAGAAACTTTCCTACATAGTCTACATTGCTTTTAATTGACCTTGGTAGAAGCCACATTCTTTTTATTTTCAAAGAAAACAAACAATGCACACAAAATCTGCCAAACTTTAAAAAAGTCAAATCCTTTTCCAGGTAGTAGTCAGCATACACAAACAGCCAAGTTCTTACTTCAGGTTTCTACTACTAATGTTGCTAAAGTCACCTGTTTTCCATTCCCATGTAGTGCTTAATAGAGCAAGTGACAACACAACCTTCTCATCCACATCCAGGAGTCCTACAACTCTCTTAATTCTTCCCCCTCAGCATGTGTCAGCTTTTAAAAGGGAGTCTAGGAAACACCAAGAGCCATAGTAATTTGCTACATACTTGTACAGTGCTGTTTAGGTCAGATGTACTGTTAACTATACCCACATTATTGCATAATAGATGTCATGAACTTTCTTAACACCTCTCAATACCACCACCCTGGTTCCTCTTTCTCCAGCCTTTCTTTAAAAGGAAGTCAGCTGGGCTGGGGATTTAGCTCAGTGGGTTTTGCTGCCTGCTGTGCAAGCACAAGGACCTGAGTTCAATCCCCAGTACCAAAAAAAAAAAAAAAAGAAAAAAGAAAAAGGAAGTCGGTTTCAACATGAGTATCAAGAAAATTCCTCAAATGTGATTAAACTATTAAAATTAAAACTTGTACCTCAGGGCCGGGGATTTAGCTCAGTGGTTTCGTCACCTGCTGCGCAAGCGCAAGGACCCAAGTTCAATCCCCGGTACCAAAAAAACAAAACAAAACAAAAAACCTTGTACCTCAGATAGAAAAAGAATCATTATAATCACAGCAAGCACAATTTACCTAACATTCAAAACTATATGGCACGCTAGAAACTGCTTCAACATAAAAGTCAATCCCATTAACTCCTGCAAGAGGAAAATGATGCCTAGTAACTCAGCCAAGATCTGTCAGCACAGTGAGGTGAGGATTTGCAACAGCTTTGATTATTCCAGTGCTAAACCCAAGCTCCTAACACCAATGTTATCTTGTCCCTATGCAGATCAATAATCTGTGAGTCAGCAGATGTGATCTTGCTAAGAGATAAGCACATCAAAAATGGTCACCAAATAAAAGAAAAAAAAATCTGTAAACAAGTCACTCTTTTATTTTTGGATTTTTGACACAGGGTCTTGCTATGTAGTTCAGGTTGGCCTTGAATTCACTATGTAGCCCAGGCTGAGCTCAAACTCATGGGGATCCTCCTGGCTCAGCCTCTCAAGTGCTGAGATTACAAGTGTGCACCACCACACCTTGCACAAGTCGCTATTTTAATATGCAGTACAACATATCTATACCTAAAGGACACTGCAGTCACTAATCTTCTTCCCATATGTAACAGTAATGAGGAAAGAGTCTCTTGAAGGCTGATACTACTCTTAAATGTTTTAGTTAAATGACTGAGTAGTGTTGAATTCCCTGGTGATAGAATAATGAGAGCAAAGTGCTCTGCCCCACCCCCAGCATACCCGCAGACCCAGAAGGTGGCGGCGCTCCAGATCGCTGCCACTCGGTTGCTTCTGCCGCCAGTCTCCGGATGTACTGCTCATTCACTGACAGCAAGATGTTTTCTGGTTTAATGTCAGTGTGGATGATACGGCACTTGGTGTGTAAATAATCCAGACCCTGTAACACCTGAATGGAATAGATTAGTCAACTTACAAACACAAAATACAAGCATTTCTGGGGAAGAAATCACAATGCAACATTTTTCAAAAATAAATAAATGGGGCCAGGGATTTAGCTCAGTGGTTTTGCCGCCTGCTGTGCAAGTGCAAGGACCTGAGTTCGATCCCCGGTATGTATAAATAAATAAATAAATAAATAAATAAGGCCGGGGATTTAGCTCAGTGGTTCTGGCACCTGCCTGGCAAGCGCAAGGTCCTGAGTTCGATCCCTGGTACAAAAAACAAAAACAAAAACAAAAAACTCAAACAAAAATAAATAAATGAAAGCGCAAAGAAACTTTCTTGGAAAGATTAATTATAAACTTCCAAGGTTCCCAAAACTAATTCTATTTGGAGATATTCTTTAACTAGGTATATCACAAAGACTGAGAATACATGTTGAAGACACCCTTTAAATGCTGACATGTAGGTGAGCAAATTTCCTCACTGATGAAAGTAAGTCTTTTGTTTCCCAGTCCAGACTTTTTACATAACATATTATCCAAAGTATCTGTCCCTTGAAGTAATAGTATTTTCCTGATAGTAAATTGGATTCTATAATGTTTATCTAATATTATTTAGAAAATTAGAAAATGCCCACAATGTTGTATAAGAAATGATACTAATTTGACATAACAATGCCATATCAATATATATTTAATATTCCATTTTCCAAATCAGGCACCCCACCTAGCTTCCCCTCTAATAATTGTTATAGGAGATAAATCTAGGGAGATTATCATTATACTGAAACATTTTTAAACAGAATACATACAATAAACCCTACGGGCTGAATACAATTCCACTGGAAACAGGAAAGTCCCAACCCTTTAATATTGAAATATCACCTCACAACAGACAGATACATACTTGTTGAATAATTTTTTTGACACAAGGCAGCGGAAGCCCCTGATAGTTGGACTTGATGATCCACTTGAGCAGATGATGCCCCAGCACTTCAAACACCATGCAGATATCTGGGAATTCATTAAGGGAGAAAAAAAGAACACGAGAAAAGCGAGGCAAGACAAGATATGAATTCCAACTCAATGAAAATCTCCTAAGTTATTTTCTTCAATATAAAGAGCTTTACTGAAAAAATATGTAGCTGTTAATATTCAGAAATTCTTAGGTCTAATGCTATAGATAATGAAAGCATTCATGAAACAGAAAATTGTGTGTGGGAGCTGGTTTACTAAAAAAATTATACACACTGAACAGTGGTAAAAACAAATAAACCTACACATGCAAACAGTAAAAGCACTAGGCTCAACCTGTTGATTAGATACAGGCTCAAGAAATTTCTTCCCTCATGTCCAGGGAAGTGACTTCCATACTGTTTCCAAGTAGGAAAAAACACACTCTTCCTTGGCAGGAGAAGACAATGCACAAAATGCCAACATTCCCCCTCCTCTTTTCTACGGTACAGGGATGGAATTCGGGCCTCATGGATGCCAGGCAAGTGCTCTCCCATTAAGCTACATTCCTAGTCCCCAACATTTTTTTTGTTTTTGTTTTTTTGGTATCAGGGATTGAACTCGGGTCCTTGTCTTGCAAGGCAGGCGGTAGAACCACTGAGCTAAATCCCCGGGCCCCCGACATTTTTTAAAAACAGAAAACTGACTTGCTTTATGCTCTGTAGTTTACAAAACTCATCTTCATTTTGGTGCCACCACGGTTCTCTTTACGTCTGAACATCTGCTCACACTGCAGCAGGAACACTCTTCAAGAGTGCAAGACTGCAGTGTTAGAGGTTCTGCTGACGTCTTTCCCACCAGAAGCTTCTACACATACTGGCACACAGTGTGTATTTGTACCAAGACATACATAATGACCTACTGTCCAGACTTTTGTTTTAAATAAGATCTGTCAGGCCGGGGATTTAGCTCAGTGGTTTCGCTGCCTGCTGCACAAGCACAAGGACCCGAGTTCAATCCCCGGTACCAAAAAAAACCCCAAAACATTTAAATAAGATCTGTCACTAAACAAAAGCCTGAGCTCCTTAGAAAAATGGCCATAGCCAAGGCTACTAGATAGGGTATCCTTGGAACACCTTGCTATGCCAACAAATAAGGACACAAGTGAGGAAGAACAGGAACCATCTTGAAGAGGAGGCCACTGGCCAAAGCAGAGCGCATTTTAAAGAATGAAGTTATGAGTTAATATACTAATTAAAACTAGAATGAACAAAAAAAAAAAAAAAAAAGAGTACATGTACAAGCACCTTATCTCAAAAAAAACCAAACAAACAAAAAACTAGAATGAGGGCCAGGGATTTAGCTCAGTGGTTCTGCCGCCTGCCTTGCAAGTGCAAGGACCTGAGTTTGATCCCCAGTACCATGAACACACAATAAAATAAATACAATTAGAATGATTCCATACTGATGCTCAATAGTAAGTGTGAGGGAGGCAGAAGAGAAATGCCTTCTTTAGAGAAGAAAGCTCGGTACAATGGAAAAAATCAGTTTTACAATCACTGAATAACTGAATCAATAAATTCTAAAACTACTACATGAAAAGACTATTGGGGAAAAGGATTGTTACAGTGTCAAAATATCACTTCACAGATCGCTTATTAATTATAAAAGGAATGAGGTACTTTTACAATGGGGAAACCCCTGTCTCAACCAAGTAATCAAACTTACCACTACCAACAACAAGCACAAATTTGCACCATTTGTCTTCTGATATAATACACTGAGAGGACAAAGCATCAGCCATGTCTGACAAAACTGATTAACCTGGAGAAATAACCAGACAAATCCAAATTAAGGGACAAATAACCAGCCTGGATCCTCAAACAAATAAACACAAAGAAAAGAAAAAAGAAATATAAAAAATGTGGGTGCCATAAAAGGAACTGTTCCAAGTTATATTAACAGGTCAAAACAGATCAAAATTATCAGATACCATTTCAACTCACTGGAAGACTAAAATAAAGATTAACATTATCAATGTGGATGAGAATACAGAGTGATTAAATCCTCACACTATGCAAGTGGGAGCGTAAAATGGTAAAATCACTTTGGAAAATGACGATTTCTTAAATATAAACCTAGAAACTTCTGCCCTAGCCAAGATAATAGGGACTAGATTCATCCTCTTTATTGAAAAAAAGAACACAAAACACACACAATACATAGAACAACAGAAGACCCTGGGGACCAGGCCACAAGGGCTGTGATCCCTGAAAATCAATGAGCTGAGCCGTTAAGACTGCCCCACCTTACCGCCTTGAGGTTTTCCAGGCAGACTCTTATGAGCTGGACAGAAAGGAGCTGAGTCAGGGTAGAACCAAGGCAGCTACAGTTCATAGAGCAAGGTACCAATGAGGAGAAAGCTATAGAAAGAAATGTGGAGATTCACAGAGGGTCCTCTTCAAGTATTCTGCAGAGCATTAAAAAGAAATCTGAAGAAACCAACAGCAGTAGAGGTGAAAAACTACCTGAGAGGATTAAAGGAAATCATACCCAGTATTTCCCCAGGGTTTGGAAGACTGCCTGTTCCCAACAAAAAGCCATGAAAAATTCAGTCATGGGGTAATGGACAGAATATTCGGGAAGGTCTTGATTCAGTAGTGGGAAATGGCTAGGTCTAGACCAAGCACTAATTTGGCTCCATCTGATAAGTCCCAAAAGTAAAATCTGAAAAGATCAAACTGTTTGAAAATAACATAATCGTGTCCTAGAATGAAGTTCAAGATTTACAGGAATGGAAGATATCCAACAGCCAACAAAGTATGGCTTACATCTTTACTAATCTTCAAGTGGCAACAAAGATGCAGGAAAACATCCAAAATGAAAAGCAATTACTTGAAACTGACTCAGAACTAAGACAGATGTTCGAGCCAGCAGACAAGAACATTAACTGGGTATTACAGTTATACTCCACATACTCAGTTATGTAGAAACATAGAGGATATGTTAAAAAAGGCCAAAAATGAACTTCTAGAAATGAAAAGTACAATACAGAAAGTGAAAATATACTGGGTGGAATAAATGGCAAGTTAGAATAAAAAGACTAGTTAACCTGAGGGCCTGGGATTTAGCTCAGTGGTGCCACATGCCTCACAAGCAAGGTCCTGAGTTCAATCCCTGGTAGGAGCCCCCCACACCCCCGCCAAAGACTATTTAACTTGAAAGTATAGCAATAAAGATAATCTAAAATGAAACTCATAAAGGAAAGATAATCCAAACAAACAAACCTACTCAACTGTAAGAGTAGGCTATGGAGACAACTTCAAGTCACCCTCAAAAAAGGAAAGGCAGAGAGGAGGAAATTATGAGTCCTGAACATACTAGTAAGGATTCCAGGAAGACAGTGGAGTAGAAGAAAGTCAGCAGAAATCTGTCTTCCCAGACAATCACTGCAGCAGCAGAGTCTCTCTGATGTAATTACTTGGAACGCGGGAGTATACTGAATGAAGGCTTGCCAAATCTAGGGAAGGCTTAGATGATAAACTGGTTAATGTGGGGTAACTTCAGCTCTTAACACAATAGCAGCTTCCTATTTACTACTTCTGACCTTGGACAGGCAGCCCTGCACACAGCCAGGGAGAGCAAAAAGAACTCTCTGTCCTAAGTATCTGGAATTTGTGTCCTCATTGCTCCTCCAACCCAAAAGAAGTGCAGCATACAGGCAAGTGGCAAATTCTGCACCTACCCAATGTTTCAAGCCCTCTCCAACCTTGACTTCTGGAGGATTTTAAATCAGTGCCATTTTCCTCTTTATTCCCTTTGGGAGCCAGACATAAAGACTACAATGTTCAAAAGCAATTGCACATATGAGGAAGGTGACTGTCTGCCCACAAAAAGGCACATGATCTCAGGAAAGACCTGACAAGGGTCGGGGATTTAGCTGAGTGGCACCACACCTGCCTTGCAAGTGCAAAGTCCTGAGTTTGATCCCCGGTACTGAATAAAAAAAAAGACCTGACAAGAACTTTAATTCAGGCTAATCTCTGGTCGAGAGTCTACAACAATAAAAAACAAAAACCATAACCAAAACAACAATAAAAACAGCAAACTCTGAGAAAGGGGCAGGATCTGATTTCTAGTTACCACATTAGATCCAAATGTTTAAATTTTCAACAACAAAAACAAAATCTAAAAGGAAAGAATGAAGTACAGTGCATTCGAAGAAAAGGAATCAACAGAAGCTTTCTGAAAAAGATCTGGTGGCAAGTCTTCTACACAAAGTAGTTAAAACACAGGTCTTAAAGATACTCAAAGAATTGGCTGGGAATTTAGCTCAGTGGTTTCGCCGCCTGCTGTGCAAGCGCAAGGACCCAAGTTCGATCCCCAGTACCAAAAAAAAAAAAGAACTAAAAGATGTGGATTAAGTCTAAAGAATAAGAAAACCCAAAACAAACCATAAAGAAATTCTTGAGGTGAAAAGTACCAATGAAATGAAAACTTCATAGGAGATCCCAAGGCAGATTTGAGAAGGCAGAAGGAAGAATTAGTAAACTTGCAGATAGGGAAATGTAAATGATGTATTGAGTCTGAGGAATAAGCAGAAACAGATGAAGTGACTGAGCAGAAGGAAAGTGGACAAGGCCTAAAGGGACTTGTGGGACACCATTAAGCAGACCAACACACACACTGTGGCAGTCTCAGAAGAGACACAGAAAGAGGCAGAGTATCTAAAGAAATAATGGCTGAAATCACCCCAAATTTAATGCAAGACACAAATATAAACAGCCAAGATGCTCAGTGAACTCCATGTAAGAAGAACTCAAAAAGACCCACACCACAATACATTATAATCAAACAAGAAAAAGACAAAGGACCTTGAAAACAGCAAGAGATTTGTCACATGAAATCAATCAAGATCCTCAATAAGACTGTCAGCATATTTCTCATCAGAAACTTTAGAGGCCAAAGGGCAGTAAGGTCAGTATGTTCCAAGTGCTGAAAGAAAGACCCTCAACCAAAATCCTATATCCAGCAAAACTGTCTTTTGAAAATGAGGGAGAAACTAAGACATTCACATATAAACAAAAGCTGAGGGAATTAATCACCAGTAGATGTGTCCTGTAAGAAATGCTCAAGGGAGTTCCAGAAGGTAAAATGAAAAGATATTAAACACTAACTCAAAGACATACAAAGAAATAACCTCAAGGTAAATAGATGGCAATTATAACAGATAATATTACTGTGTCTTTGGTTTGTAACTCCATGTTTTGTTTTCTATATCATTTAAAGACAGAGGGGGGTGGGCATCGAACCCAAGTCCTTGCACATGCTTGGCAAGTACTCTACCACTGAGCTACACCTCTAGCCCTAAAGATACAAATTTTTCATAAGAATTTTAGTTTCTACTTCTGGGTATGTAATGTATAAAGACATTATTCTTTAGCATCAATAATTGAAAGGAGTATTGAACTGTTAAAGAGAAATTTATATCTGAAGTTAAAACTGGCAAAAATTCAAATTATACAGGGTTAAAATACAAGTCAGCATTGTTAACACTTTAGGATGGTAAATCTAATCCTGTGGTAATCACACAGACTATATATAAAAGGAAATGAAAAAGGAATTTAAATGTTTCATTACAAAAAAAAATCAACTAATCATAGAAATAAAAACCTGTATGGCATACAGAAAACAGATGACAAATGACAGACTTCATTAGCAGTAAACTCTCCAGTCCAAAGACAGATATTGAAGCTGGGTGTGCTGCACATCTGTAATCCTTGCACTTTGGAGACTTAGACAGAAGGATCATGAGTTCAAGGCCAGTCTGCGATTACACCGCAAGACCTTGTTTAAGAAAAGAAAAAGAAAAAGGAAAAGAAGAAAAAAGAGAGAGAAGAGAAGGTATGCTGTCCCAGGGCCACAATCCCAGCACTCTGGGAGGCTGAGGCAAGAGGATCACTAATTCAAGGCGAGCGTGGGCAACTTAGTAAAACCATATCTCAAAATAAAAAAGGTACAGGGTTACACCTCAGTGCAAAGGCTGGATTCAATGGCCAGTACAACAAATAAACACAATAAAAATGTTTTCCAGAGATATTCTAAAATAACTATGAATGGAAGAACATATCTAAGATTGGCAACAGAATTATCAGGAAGTATAGACAAAAAGATTAGTTTTAAGTTGATGACTTGTAAAATGGGTAATGGATCTGTGGTGAGTCATTAAACTTTTCTATGGTTTTGTTTTCTGGTAGTAGTGTATTGAACCTAAGGGCCTTTGCACTGAGCTAGAGCCCAGACCGTTGCGTGTTTTTAAAATTTTGAGACAGGGTCTTGCTGAATCACTAGGTTGCCCAGGATAGGCATGAACTTGTGATCCTCCTGCCTCAGTTTCTTAAGAGTGCTGGGATAATTGGCATGTGACATCACATCTGGCTCTATTCTACTTTTTTGTTTGAAATTTACCAGAATAAGTTTTTTTAAAAAGTAGACTTTTTTTTTTTGGTACTGGGGATGGAACTTGGGTCCTTGCACTTGTGCAGCAGGTGGTGAAATCACTGAGCTAAATCCCCAGCCCAAGACTGCTTTTAAAAAGTAAACATAAACTAGAACTTCAAGCTATTCTTTTATGTTTGTAGTTTCAACCTTAACTTTTACTTGTTGAGAAGCACTATAATTTGACAAACATTTAATCTGTAAGCAGTGATATAAAATATGTGATAGCTTAAAAATAAAAAAGATCTCAGTAGACTATCATAATCAATTAGTTATAGAGCAAAATAGCGTGGGGTCAAAGAAGACTGGTAAGAGTCAGAAGAAAGAGATGTGAAATTAACACATGAAAAAAAATCTAGAGATGGTATAAAGAAAAAAAAGAGCTGGGCTGAGTTCAATCCCCGGTACCAAAGAAAAAACGAGCTAAAAACATTACTAAGTAAGAACCATATTTAGGATACATTATACATAAGAGGAGCTTGCAAAAGAGGAAAGGTCAATAGTAAAAGAATTATCACAACACCTTAGTCATGCAGGCAGCCAATGATGACTCCCTGGCAAATGTCAGTGTTACATAGAGATCAGGTGTCTACAACCTTTTCCCTCAACCCTCACGGAAGTGGAGTGAACCAGGTTAATATTGAAGTCTACTTTATATTTTAATGAGAAAGAACAGTGATCTGGAGCAAAGGCAATTATACCCAGACACACAGCAAAAGCGGATGCACAGGGCTGGGGATTTAGCTCAGTGGTTTTGCTGCCTGCTGCGCAAGCCTAAGGACCCAAGTTTGATCCCCGGTACCAAAAAAAAAAGCGGATCCACAGTTCCATGTGTAGGTGCGTTGTGTCCTGAGGTAAACAGCATAACCTGCTGACCCTTAACACAGCACTCTGAGGAACAGCCTTCTCAGTCTCTAACTGCAGCAAACAAAGCAGGGGCCACGCCAGCTGGGAGATGAGTAGAAGGAACAGCAGAGAGAATGGCTAAGGACAAGAGGAGAAAATAATTAAAAGAGGACTCAGTGGACATAAACCACCTAGTAGTGTTTCAAAAATACCTTGAGCTTGAAATTCACACCTAAGTTAATGGTTAGAATAAAGTGTTCTTGCTTAGGGCCAAAAGTGCCCATCTGGCACAATGACACTGACAAACATTACAAACTTAAATAGAAGACAGAATCAATGGCTACCATGACATTCTGTATAGGTATTTCTTGTTTACCTTTCTTCTTACTACTCTGCATAAACACAAACACAAACACACACACAGTAAATAATCTAGGTGTCCACAACTGGTAAAAGATACACTATTGTAAGATGGATGCAATAATTTTCCTTAGAGATCTGGAGATTGTGAGTTTTATTTCCCTAAGGAAATGACTTAGAACTTCAGAATAAGTCTTTTCACATTTACCACCTATTTTCTTTCCTTTCTCATATGTTGTTTCTATCAAATTTCTTCCCACAGTCTATTCTACACAGAATGACAGTCACTTGTACCCCACTCTGGGAGGGGAATCAATGGTAATTAAGAATGTGTGCTAAGAGAAGCCAAACAGGAATGGCAAGTAGGATGATCTATGAAATGTCTTTCTTTGCACATTTTAAAATCATTCATGAGTGAATAATTTTAGATTCTCCCATCTAAGTAAGATACTTTATTTTAGCTTTTACTCTGAAAGTCTAACAGGCCTTTATAAACTTGCCTGTTGCGATAACCTTTTGAGTATCTGCACAGAACAACAACAGTTAACTTGTGAAGAAAATGAACTAAGGTTCAAATTTCCAGCTCTAATATTCTAAAACTTCAGGTTAAAAATATAAAACAATGTGAACAATAATATTTAAATTCTAAATGTAACTGGCACTGACAAGCTTCTTCAATACGAAGGCCTGTGAATACACAACAAAAGAAAATGTCTGTACTAATAGGTAAAGTTCATACAACCTTCATTTAGTAATAGCTATTTTCTAAAAGTTTTTTTTGATTTTGCTTTAATTCACCTGAAAAGGGAATAAAGATGGGGGAACCAAAGCAATATCTGAAGAAGCACACTGCACAAAACTCAGGTCTGTATTCAAAAGTGCACAACAGAAGGTATGACTGCGTAGCTCAGTGGCATTGTGCCTGCCTGGCAAGTGCTAGGTCCTGAGTTTGATCCCTGTTACCAAGGGAAAAAAAAAGGATAATTGTGAGGCCCAGCTGAATGGGTCAGGAAGTACCCAGGACTCCTGGAGCAGAGTTCGGGCATGCCTGTGGATGACTGACATGCGGGACTCAGGATGAGCAGGGAAGACAATATGCACCCTGGATGTGGGTGGCATTAGCCTCTGGCCTGATCACATAAAAAGTGAAAGAAGCCTCCCATCTCACTTTCTCACTGCCTTTGGATGCTCATTTCCAGTGCCTTCAGCCTTGCCACGCAGACCTTTTGGTTTTCCGATGCAGACAGACCCCCACCAGGCTGCGCTGTGAGCTCCAGGCTCCTGACTTTGGGCTCCTCAGCATGCAGATGGCCATTCTGCACTCCCCTACCCAACTCCACAGGCAGCCACTGTGAGTGTACTTTGTAAATCCTTTATATGTCATATGTATGTATTTTATATTAAATCTGACCCACCAACAAACCCTAACTGATACAGAGGTAGTTTTATCACAGTTTACAAAGGAAAGATGTCAAAGTTATTTGTACAACTCCAGTCCTTTCCCTGGGATGCTATTTTATAAAGAGTAAGTTTTGAAAAGGATACGTGTTCCATTAACTCCAGATATTTTAAAGTCATCCAGTAGTTGAACAACCATTTCTCTGTTTGGATCACTGGGGTCTGAATTGCGAACCTGTCAGGAAGAGAGAGAATTTGGCAAAGGGAAAGCACGGAAACAAGCCAAATGTTAATGGAATATACAATGCAGTAAACTAACTCCAAGAAAGAACTTCTAAAAATCTATATACTAGATTTCTAATTTAACCACTTTGCTACTCACAGTGTGGCTTAGAAATTAACTGCTGGTTACCAAGCTATCAGGAACTAAGGCACTTTTACAGGATGTGAATCTATCACAGTACTAACCACACTGTTTACTGAGTTGATTTTTTTTTTAATAGAAAAACTCTCAATGAAAGAGGCAGTATATGTTGATTTACTTTGGGGCACACGCTCCTTATCACAAACTGAACTTTGAAAAGCACTGCCTCAGAGATTTCAAGGTACAACACATTTTATGAACAAAATGACTAAAGAGCAGCAGGAATAAAATGAGAGATGGAGGGCACACTGGGACAGAGATGTACCTAAATGCAGGTTTCCTACCCTTGAGTTAAAGCTCCTCCTACTGTGTTGACACCTTCATTTATAACAAAACTGAAATAAATGTCCTGACAAAATTTACCTAAGTTGTCAAGTATAAATGGAATTAATGAATACAGCATTTATTTTTTGTTGTTTTATAACATTTAAAAACAATGGACATACAATAATTCACACAATTTTCTTCTTAATAGTAGCTTATCTGACACATAAGACATATCTGATAAAATTTTTTTGCTTGCTTGACAATTCTTTGGAGTGTCAGTGTATACAGACAGAATTCTAATTACACTAAATCCCACCAATTCCCTACCACACACTTGTGGAAATATTATCTTCCTCTACACCTTATGAATACTAGGACTTTACAGTAGATGCAGTAAAAATTTACCCATGCTAAAGAGTCTACTAGATGCTATGTCTAATTAAAACTACACAATGCTTTTCAGTTCACACATATGATGTAATACTCACTGATTTCAGCAACCGGATTTCATCTAGCGCTGTTTCAGTATAATGTTCAGCACTTTTAACTACTTTCATCGCCACAAACTTCTTTCCCCTAAGAAACAAACAGAGGCAATTAAGATTAAATGTCAAAAAAAAAAAAAGAAAAAAAAAAAGACTAAATGCCCAACCAGGGATTTAGCTCAGTGGTTCTGCCACCAGCCTTGTAAGTGCAAGGTCCCGAGTTTGATCCCTGGTACCAAAAAAGAAAAGAAAAAGGGACGGGGGGAAAAGACTAAATGCCCTACCCATATATGAGAAGGTAAGAATTGGTTATACTGGCAGATGGTAAGCAAATATAAATATAGTATTGATTTCATGTCTCCCTGTAGCCAAACTTTCTATGTGGTCACTTCTAATTGTTAACTGGCACAATTGGCTAGATTTCATTTATAGGAAGAAAAAAAATCTGTTTGTTCTCAGATAATCTCAGTTATTGAAAAATTTCTCTAAATTAAAATCTACCTTTTGAACTGGGAAAGTAGTTGAGTGGTAGATGGCTTGCTTAGCATGTGCAAGGTCCTGGATTTCCTTCCCAGCACCACAAAACAAAACAACTAAAACTACGTTCAGAGTAGCTCCTGGAATCCCAATACTAAGAAATGGGGAACCATAAGGGAAAAAAATACTACTAAATCAGAAATATCCTTTATATATCTATATAATAAAAGATACAAGGTTAAAAGCTACTTATCCTGTAAGAAGGCTGAAGACATACTAGGATGAAAACAAATAACATCATAAAAATTAAATGATAATACATGAAATGCATAGATAGCAATTACTGTTCCATCAAAGACAGAGTACATGTTTAGGTAAATACTCAATGTTAAAGAGGTATTTTTATTGCCTGTAATTTTTATGTTAGAGAAAATTTCTAGACTGCATGGCTGAGTAAATCTGTTACAAAAATAAAAAATTTCACACTGGTTTAACATTATATAAAAATTTAACTCTACCTTCAGTAAGAAGATGACTTATTAATTTACATACCACTGAACATAAGCAAAGCTTTGAATCTGGGCGTTCTAAGTGCTTTGTTGGTGCTAATTTCATCAATATGTCGATTCTAAGGCCTCTAAAATGGAGAGGCAGATATATATCTAGACATAGACATGTATATGGAATTTTCATATGTCTGATTTTCATGACAAGAACATGATTTGTCCAAGAACATAAAGATTACAATAATAAAATTATAATCAAAAAATCAATTTAGAGAAAAATCAGACCAAAATGTGGAGGCATCATCCAAGTAATTTGTTTGTAAGACTACTAAAACTTACTGAATATCCCATGATAGCCACACTGTTGAAAAGTGCCCCCAGCCCAACTTTCGGATCACATGGTATCTGCCATTGAACAGATCACCGATTTTCACAAGATGATAACCTCCTGGAAGGAGCAACAAGAGGAATATAATCAGAACCACCAAGATAAGAAACAATCACTTCATTAGTAAGAAAGGGATCTTATATTCCATTTATCCATGTCCATATACCTTGTATCAGTCAAACTGACCTCATGTTACAAAAAAATAATCTTAGTGAATAAAATTTTAAATTGAGCAAGTGATGTCTGTCTGTTAGAATCTCATCCTCAAACAAAAAAGGTTGTAGGGCTGGGGATTTAGCTCAGTGGTTCCACCACCTGCCTTGCAAGCGAAAGGTCCCAAGTTTGATTCCAGTACCAAAACAAACAAACAAAAATGAGGTTGTGTATCACAACAGCCCTGCCCCCAAAACTGCAACCGATTTCTCTAAACATATGAATCTGCTTTTAGTTACAATCTCAGGATTTTTTCCAGAAGAATAATAACTTCTGTTTAGTTGAAAAAAGAAACAGGAGGATTTTCTTCTCTAAATAAAAATAAAAACCAGGAAGGTCTGAAAAGGTTGCCCAAACTGGTGGGAATTTTACCACTTATCTGGGGTGCTGGGGCACACCTGTAACCCCAGCTCTCTGGGAGGGTGAGGCGGGGGGCGGGGGGATCACAAGTTTGAACCCTACCTGGGCAACTAGTGACTTACTGAGACCCTGTCTCAAAAATGCAGGGCTGGGGGGCCCGGGGATTTAGCTCAGTGGTTTCGCCGCCTGCTGTGCAAGCCCAAGGACCCCGGTACCAAAAAAAAAAAAAAAAAGTGGGGCTGGGGATATAGCTCAGTATGAAGGACCTGGGTTCAATCCCCAGTACCTCAAAAAGGGGAGGGTGTATTAAGAAGATATTTCTTGGGCTGGGGATTTAGCTCAGTGGTTCTGTCGCCTGCCTCGCAAGCACAAGGACCTGAGTTCGATCCCCAGTACCAAAAAAAAAAAAAAGAAGATATTTCTTTCAAAATATCTGTATAACAAAATACCACAATTGGCTACTTCTGGGTATAGCACTGCAGGTAGCTTTTCTTTTCTTTTTAATATGTTTCTGAAATTTTCTAAGGTAATTATGTAGTATCATTTTTAAAGAGAAAAAAGTGAACATTTAATATAAAATTAGACTTGGATAAATTTAAGAATACTGCTTCTTGTATCTTAGAGAATAAGATGCAAAAGTCATCAAAACTGTGCTTACACTGACAGACCAAATATTCAAATAATGAAATGGGAAACAGATGGATCGCACCTTGCCAAGTATCTCCTCACTCATTTACCTTTACAATAGTCATTGGGATCTTCCTGCTCATCATCATCGGATCCCAGAATCTCCTCTTCCTGCTCTGGTAGATCACTCTCAGAATGGGGAGCAGAGCCTCGGTGCTGAGTTTCAGTTCTAAGAAATAACACAAACATGCTCGTTCCGTATGGATGGAAGAAAAAAAGGATTTAAGAAAATATCACTATCATCTCTTTTACTCAGTAATCTTCAGATAATTTCAACAGAATTATTAGGCGGCTGCCTAAGGAAGACATTAGCTATAACTTTACCTCATAGTACGTGAATGATGACTAAATAAAAGCTGGGAAACATAAAGGTATTAAGAGGAAAAATCGCTTGAACTCTAATATTCAAAAACAGTTTTTGAGCAAACAACTGGATTTTCTTCCAGAATTCTGCTGAATATTTATGAAAAAGTAATTCTGTAATCACATACTAAACAAACTTGTATCTTAATTCTAGTGTAAACTTTATTTCTTGTTTCTACGCAATCTCTTAAACCCTAGCACGCTTAGACCAGTGGTGGTGAAGCTATGGCAGGTGCGCCGTGGTGGGCTGACTGTGTCACTAAAGGCCCCAAAGGCTCGCTGTCCCCGCTCTAGATCAGTCACCATCTACTTTGGCACAGCCTACTCAGCTGGGCGTTTAACTTGTTCCTAATTTTTCTTCACTAAAACTAGAGGTATTCAGTATTTTTGGGTAAGTCATTCTGTATTTAGAATGATTTCCCTGAAACAGACTACTAGGCAGGGATCAAAACATTTCTCTATGGCCAGGGATTTAGCTCAGTGGTTTTCCCGCCTGCTGCGCAAGCGCAAGGACCCGAGTTCGATCCCCAGTACCAAAAAAAAAAGAAGTAAACATTTTTTGTGAAGGGTTATTTTTACTTATAAAACACAAGGAAGTACCATTTCCACTTAAAGGATTCAAGACTGAATAATAAGTCACAAGGCAAATCAGGCATTGTGGTGCTTGCCTGTAATCCTGGTACCTACTTTAGAGGCTGAGGCAAGAGGATCGTTGCAAGTTCGAGGCCAGCCTGGGCTGTTAGTTCAAGGCCAGCCTGAAATACACAGTGAGACTCTGTCTGGAAAAGTCAAACCAAAGCAATGAACAAACCCAAGGAAAGGAGCAAAGCCATAAACCATAACACGTGGTCTCCACACCGCTGTTAGTACAGACAAAAGCTTCTTGTTCTATACTGATTACTTAAATATTTGGCTCTCCCAATATTTATTCTAAATCGAGTATAAGAGGGAAAATTCTATTTTCAACTATTAAATTTCCTTTGTGTCCTAGGTCTGCACTGCTTAGGGCACCCCTCTCCCGAGTTGGAGGTCCCAGACTTCCCTTCCAGTAAGACGTCTCACAGCTCCATTTTATCCCATGTCAATGGATATAACTACTCTGGACATTCACACAAATGCAGTCATATAGTGCGTGGTGTTTTGTGACCAGCTTCTTTCATTAGCTGTTCTCAAGGTTCATGTGTGTTGTAACATGTATTAGTACCTTATTCCTTTTTAATAGCTGAATAATATTCCACTATATGGATACACTACAGTTTATTTATCCCTTCATCAGGTGATGGACTTCTGGGTTGCTTTCTCTTTACGATTATGAATCATCCTAGAAGAAGCTTGTGTGATCATGTTCACAGCAACAATCTAATAATCAAAAGCTGGAAACAACTAAATGCCCATCAACAGAGTGGATAAGAATGTTACAGTATTCCGATACAATGAAATACTATTTCCCAACAGCAAAAATGAATGAACTACATGCATCAGCATGAATAAATTGCACAAACACAAGACTGTTTAAAAATCAGGATTATTAATTCAGAGAAACTGTAATGTAGGGATGTGGTCAAGGGGCACATAATAAGCTTTTACAGTAATTTCCCCTTGCCTTCTTCCTCCCTCCCTTTTTCCCTTTCACTAGGGATTGAACCCAGGGCCTTCATACTGAGCTACATCCCTAGCCCTTTCTTACTTTATTTCGAGACAGGTTTTCACTAAGCTGTCCAGGCTCAGCTCAAATTTTTTATCTTTCTGCCTCAGCCTCTTAGAATACTGCAATTACAGGTGTACGTTACCACTCTGGGTGGTAATTTATTTCTTAAACTGGGTAGAAGTTAAAGTATTTATATTATTCTTTGAGTACATCTCAAATATCTTTTTTTTGGTACCGGTGATCGAACTTGGGGCCTTGCGCTTTCGAGGCAGGCAGCAGAACCACTGAGCTACATCCCTGGCCCCATCTCAAATATCTTATTTAAAACATACTGGCTATGTGTTCAGGTTCAAACAGAATTCAACACTCCTAGGGCTTTTTGTTTACTTTACCTCTCTGATGATACTGATCACACGATTACTATAAAATGCAAATGCAAAGGGAATACAATTACATTTATTAATTCTTTTTTTGGTTTGGTTTTTTTTTTTGAGACAGAATCTTGCTATGTAGTTCAGGATGGCCTTGAACTCACAGTGATTCTCCTGCTTCAGCCTCCCAGGAACTGGGATTATAGGCATGCATCACCATACCCGGCTACATGTTTTAATTCCCTGCAGGCTGGGAATTTAGCTCAGTGGTTTCGCTGCCTGCTGCGCAAGCACAAGGACCCAAGTTCGACCCCCGGTACCCAAAAAAAAAACCCCAAAACAACATTTTTACCTACAAATCTTTCTTCTAGATAGCTGACTTTTGTTTTATAGGAAAAAAGCAGTCCAAATAAATGACAAATGTATGTAGACAATCTGGCTAAGAAAAAGCTTTATCTAAATGATATACCTGTATGTACTGTAAAACTTTGTATGTATTCTTTCCAAAAGAAGAAAAAATAACCCAAAAATTTATGCAGGAACTTGAAACAGTGCTTTGGTATAATATGGGCGTGAGGTCATATAATATGTAGGTTTTTACTTTTTGTTTAGTAGGAAAAAAATACTAAAAAAGAAAAAAATCATCCCTTTATTATTAGTATAAATCAAATGAATATAATTTATAAACCACAGTAGCAATTAAGTAAATTATGATATTGGAGAGTTTCATAAGACACAACAGTAAAATGAAAAAGACAAGTAGCTGAATAGATTGTGGTTCATTTATCATCCCCTCCCCAGAGGTGCACAGCTAAATATATTCACAGACAATCACAATGCAAGGGGAATACAAGGGTGGAGTCAACTGTTGACATGTTTCCCCCTGGATAGAGTGCAGCCTAAGGAGTGAGAGAATGTAAAACCAGTTTTTATGTTTTGTTGTATGTAACAATTTTGAACTGCTGGAATCTTTTCCAAGGAGAACTACTCATGAAATACATCACTTAAAAAATTGACAAAAGGTTTTTTAAAGTACCACTCATTGTTGTGTTGCAGGGAGACTGGAGTACTAGCTTCAAACGGAACTGCCTGGTAGTATTCCCTCCAGAACTGCTCAACTAAATAAGCTGGCGGGCGCAGGCTTGACACTCCCACCCAACTAGGTCCAACAAGATCAATTAGAACTCCTCAGAGGGAAAGGTTAGAGGCTGGGAAAACTGAGGAATCTTAAGCAATAAGGACAAGAGGGTTGCTGGAGGAGGCAATGACTGCAGCCAGTGAGGGAGGCAGAATCTCTGACAATGAAGTAAAAACTGCAAGAAAATAAAGACATTTCATTGTCTTAGAATAAAAAGATAGGCAAATCTAGAGAGATACATTCAGCATCACAATGGCCGTCTACCCATTAACCTCTCTCAATGTGGCCCGAATTTGAATTTGGTTACTCAGCAAGAACTGTTCTAAATAATACACATACATAATCTGGCAGCAATCACAACAATTTTGAACTGTTTCACTTCTAAATACTCTGAAAAATTAAGACAACTATATATACTTTATACCAATGTCAATCTCCTGGGTTTTATACTGTACTGTAGCTGTACAGTACAGTAGATACTGGAAGAAATCAGCTGAAGGATATGGGGTACCTCTGTAATGTAACTGCAACTTCTTGTGAATCTTCAATTATTTCAAAAATAAAAAGCTTTTTTAATTGTGGAGAAAAATTAAGATGTACATAGAGATTTAGGCACAATATCACAGAAAAAAGCTAGAAACAAAAACTTAAAAACAATGGGTTGCACAAGTGCATTACATTGTCTCCATGCTCAAAGCCAACAAATAGAAATGAATGAAAGTATATAATTGTAGGGCCAGGGATTTAGCTCAGTGGTGCCGCCGCCTGCCTCGAGAAGCACAAGGTCCCGAGTTCGATCCCCGGTAACAAAATAAATAAAAATACTACCC